TCGACTGGCTAGTCGTGAATTTCACTCTTTAAAGTTGTCATTTTAGGGGTAGACGGGATAGACCTTATTTTCACATAAACCAAAAACATAATATATAATCATTCTTGGCTATATTAAGATTATATCCCGAAAAAATGCTTGGCTTCCCATTCAAAGCCATCCCAGAGTCACAGCTGCCCCGACCTCTTTGCAGGATGAGATCTTCTCCTGACGTTTTCACAGCGAATTTCTCCAAGGATGATTTGCAAACATGCTGTGGATGGAAGAGATCCTGCACCAGTTGGGAACCGTTTTTTTGTGCTTTCTGAAACACTGTAAAAAATGGGTCCCGGGCTAATGGGATATGTTCATCTACCATGGGGGTTTCTTCACATAGGGTATCCCCAAAACCATGGCTTTCAATAGGAAACCTCCAGGCATGATACCAGTACTTGGTGGATTAATGCCATCTATATAAGAACCATTAGTTGACCAATAATATGACTATTAACTGGTTGGTGGTTGAGCCACCTACCCCCCTGAAAAATGATGACAAATCGTCAGTTGGGATTATGACATTCCCAATAGATGGGAAAATAGAAAATGTTCCAAACCACCAACCAGATTAATAGTGGAGATTGATTATAATGATAAACCATTAATTACATTGATTGTTGCCCCCGGATAGCAAGAAGTTGATGCACGTCACATTTATCAGCGAAAAAAATCGATGGTTGATGAATGGGGGGGCCTCGCCTGGTAGAAAATCCGATTGGATTCTAAGATCATCCGAATGTGGCTCTTAAGAAGTGAAAGTTTGAGAGCAAAACAGTGTGCAATGGACAACCATTAATACAACCATGGAAAATCCACTAGTTATATATATATATATATGTGTGAATTTCCCAGCTGTCAGCTACACTCATAGGAGATTTTCCAGATAGCCATTGTTTGATTACAAAGTCAAAACATAATTCCAATGGATTATCATCATGTTCCCTTCCGCAAATAGGCTACTCTCCGTGTGGAGGGGGGGCGTATTGGGGGTGAGAACTTGCAGCGACATCAAGCAAGTGGTCATGTCAACCGTTTCAGGGACGCCAAATGACCCAGAAACAGCCCGAAAGAGGCTACAGTTCCACAGAAGAATTGAGTAATTGAGTTAGTATTTGGAAGATGATGTTCCTATTGAGCATGCAGCATATCCAATATCTAATTGGGTTCCACATTAAATTTGTGTGAGTGTTGCTTCTTATGAGAGTGTTCAAATAATAGGGTCTTCCAAGAGGGACTGATAATGTGGTAAACCCTCAACAAACAAAAAACAAAAGCATACCTATATAATTCGAAATAATTTAGCCTGATTGATTCTTTTTTTGGTCCTTTAGGGTGTTTTATACACCTCTAGAATCCTCTAGGTATCCGACTTACCATTGAATCTTCCACACTACTTGGGCTTTACACATCATCTCGGACGAACGAGACAACCTTGGTACCACAAGCCATCGCCCCCGACTCCGATCCGTTGGATTTCACCCCTTTTTTGGCCAAAAAAATCACCAGTGAGGCGAAATCCACTGGTTATGTCAAAATAGCTATTGAAAATTGCCATGTATAGTGAGTTTTCCCATTAAAAATGGTGATTTTCCATAGTTATGTTAGTTTACCAGAGGGTAAATCCATTGCTGAATCACCAGATTTCGATCAGATTTCCGGTCCAATTTTATGGCCGGGAAATGGGCCTGAAGGACCCATGATTGAAAATCAACACCCGCCTGAAGGATGTCGTCACGATAGATGATGGTGGTGAAACACGTGGCGCAAGCTAGAAGCTCCTCACCCCGCGAAGCGCGGAGGCCGAAACAAGGCCGGAAAGAGATGGATGATCAAACTTGGGGACAAGAAGCGCAAATTTTGCGTTGAAGAATGTTGAAGAGGAACCCTCATCCCCCAACTATACACCATTAATTACATAACTATACATAACTATACTATAGATCCAGATAGAACGATTGTTTTCGAAAGCTCTGAAAGCTCAATTCTGATGGGTACCCTCTGGTAAACTAACATAACTATGGAAAGATCCACCATTGTTAATGGGAAAATCCACTGTAAATTGCCATTTATAGTTGATTTACCCATTAAAAATGGTGATTTTCCATCGTTTTTTGTATGTTTACCAGAGGGTAAAGCCTGTGGAATGCTTCACTCAGCTGCGATCTCCTCGGCGTCCTCTTCGTCTCCCTCCTTGCACGCGCAAGCGCCGCAAGCGCACGCAGGTGAGTCAAGGGGGGCTATATCGATCCAGGAAACATAGCAACGATACGGTGGGTTTATGGGAAATTCATGGCTCTTGACTCACCAATTTTTCTGTAAAATATATGTAAAATGGGGGAAAAATGGCTGGGAAATCCAATGGAAATCCAACATCATCCAAGGCCGTTCTGAACGATGTCCTGTTCGATTTCCACTGGGTCCGACCTGCAGCAGGTTTTCTGCAATGCATGGGATAGGGATAGGAATGCCTCCAGTGGTCATCAATGAAATTCTGGAAAATGGATGATTATAACGATTCAAAGCTTGGGTTGCTTGGGTTCCTTGGGTAGCCTATTTTCACCAAATCATTGGAACGTCTGGAAATTGTTCAATGGGAAATTCGAGATTCCCAGATGGAAATTGTGATCGTCCGCGCTGTATTGGCTAGTGTGACTCCCTATATTTATAAACCAAATGGGTCTTTTGAGACTGGCCATATATTACAAAATGCTAGGTCCAATCTTCCATGAATGAATAGATGGATACCCTCTGGTGTCATCAAACGTGGTGAGCTGGCAAATCTACACAATTGATGACACCGGAGAGTAGAGTGACTCTTGGTCCGCAGTTCAGCAAGGGATATGTTTCCAAAGAAACCAGCGCCCAAATGGATCCAAATGGTATGTTATCAACTATAATCCATTTGGAATATAAACATACTATAATCATACAATTAATCATACAATCACCCAGGATCTCTAAGGATCTCTAATCTGCTGATGCTGAAAGAAGATCAAACATGGCTACCCTCTGGTGAACTAACATTTTGCAATGGAAAGATCCACCATGCTATTACCATTTTTAATGGGAAAATCCACTATTTCGACTGGGCCATTTTCAATAGCTTTTTGTATGTTCACCAGAGGCTATATCAACTTAAATGTCCATTGTTGAACATATATAATTCATATATAGGTATGTGTCAAACCCTGGTACCCTGGTGAACACCAAAATAGCTGGTATATCTGCATGTTCACCCCCCTCAAAAAAGGGTCGGTCCATCCCCAAACGTGACACCTCCCGCAACTACACTATCAATATGTGTTTGATATATGGGCGTGTCTGGAAATGGGGCATACCATGGTATACCCCCAGAAATTGCTATTCTCTAGGGAAATTCAAATCATGATTAGCTATCAAATTTGGGGGTAACCCTCAAACAAACCCACAGAATTCTCTTATAGTATATGCTACATGTATTTATATGACCTATATTTATCTATATCAAAATTTATAATCTATGCAAAATCATTAAAACGATAATTTCTGGATTCATTGACCTACATGGGCTGCGTGGGTCAAGACAGCTCACGGCATCCTTTTTCGGAATTATGGCCATACGTGCGTCAAAACATGGTGTACCCTCCAGTATATCATTTAACATAGCTATTGAAAATGGCAATCTATAGATGAGTTACCCTCTGGTAAACAAACATAACTATGGAAAATCACCATTGTTAATGGGTAAATCCACAATAAATGACCATTTTCAATAGCTTTTTGTATGTTTACAAGAGGGTACCTATAAGAAATGGTTGTCCATTGCTATGCCGGTAATTTTTCACATAGCTATTTTTCACATGACCCAGTCGAAATAGTTTTTCTTTACCCACTAAAAACACTGTTGATTTTCCAGTTCGCAAACTCTTAAATTACCAGGCCGGCTAAATCCCTATGAAAATGGACCAATGACCATCCCGCAAAGACTGGATATCCATATGTATCCGTACTATATATATATATATATATGGGCCATCATAACATATCATAACCCCCAAGATGAAGTTATGGTAATCATGGATTTGCTTAAGGAACCACCAAAAAATAAAAAATATTCCCTATAGATTACCCAAGAAGTGGATTTCCCATGGAGAAAATAAAAAATCATCTTCAGCAAATCCAAGTAATTTATGGTAAGTGAACTGGTAAGTGAACTGGTAAGTGAACTGGTAAGTTCATAAATGTACGCAAGCCAAAAAATATCCATTAATATCCCATCAAGCAATATCAAGCAACTATGGTAAGTCACAACGAGTTTCCCTACGTCAGAGGTGTGGAAACTTCAAAGTCTCGCGCCATGTCAGGTCGTGCCAGGCTGCTTCGTGCTTAGACGTGGTGATGGACGTGGTGAGACATGACTTTGGAATGGTAATTGGAATGGTAATTTATGATATAACTTGATATAATTTGGTGTGTTTGATGATGTTTGATGTTCCTGGATGTGCCTGGTACTTATTGAACTTCTTGTTTCTTAAGACCGGGACTGGCAGCTTTGTGGTCTACCTGTGACATCGAAAATCGGACATCTTTTGAAACAAAAAACTCCGGTGGCGCAAGCAGCTCCCAAGATTTGGGACGGTTTTCCCTCCATGTCATGGTTTTCACCATGGTTTTCACACTCATTTTCCAAGGGCTGAACTGTGCCTTCTATTGATAGGTTCTTTTGTGTTTATCACCACGTGCATTTAAAAAAAAAAAAAACACTTCGGAAAGTGGCAAAGTAGTATCATACCCATGTAATCTATCAACCAAGAACGGCAAATTCATAGATAAGAATGATGGTGATTTCATTGTGGTCGTGTGGTTTCCCATCATAGCCATAGTGAAAAAGATTTGCTGCATAAGCAGCTTTGACCCAACGCTCAAACCAATCGATCTGTGTCTTGCAACACAACCCCTTTGCTGGCAAGCCAGCGCCTGCTTTTCTCGCACTCAATTTTGTGTGTTTGGGTTTCGGGTCTTTGTAGAGTCTTTGGCTATGAATCCATCGCGAAGCTCTCGCAGTTTATGTACAGAAACCAACGGTGTAACTTGCTATGTACAGATCTTTTTCAGGCCTCGGCTATCATCAATCCGACAGAGTTTCCCAGTCCCAGACTGCCATGAATTGCATGTTGATGGGACAAGAAGGACCCCGGGACCCAAAAAAAAAAACATGAACATCCAATAAACATCAGTCATTCTGAGAGGAGAAACTTTCATGAATCCCATGGTGTTCTTGTCGCCAGTGCCTAGATATCCAACCGATCCAACCGTCAGGTATCTTGGCGAGTTGATGATGATTTCCCATATCAAAATGGTGGTTTTCAAGACCATGAAATTGATGCTGAAGCCAGGCTCAAGACCAGTTATGTAGGTTTATGATACTCCACCTAACTACAGACATATGATAAGCCCCAGTTAACCATGAATAAACTTAGGTATGTAGTACAGATAAGTTGGCTTATCTTCGCTGTATTGCTTTGATATATTACAACCTATGAATAATAAGTATATAATACATTATGTGTATATATATATACGTATATTGTAACCTATGAGTTCTAAGTACATTTAACCAATGATATTTACCCTCTGGTAAACTAACATAACTATGGAAAATCACCATTTTAAATGGGAAAATCCACTATTAATGGTCATTTTCAATAGCTATTTTGACATAACCAGAGGGTATACCATCTGGTCATCAACCAACTTACGTAACCTGGCTGACTTCTCTGTGAGATTTGGTTCCTGGCCGGACGGCATCACCGCAGAGAGACCTCAGAGGTCAGCAGTTCAGCACGGTGATCCCAGGAGTGAAAACTGAACCAAAAACACATAACTAGGGGCCAACCCACTTCGGTAATCATCCTACCCTTCTGTAACATGGTGTACCTTCCAGTATATCATTTAACATAGCTATTGAAAATGGCAATCTATAGATGAGTTACCCTCTGGTAAACAAACATAACTATGGAAAAATCACCATGCTATTTATGGGGTAAATCCACTATTTCGACTGGGCCATTTTCAATAGTTTTTTGTATGTTTACCAGAGGGTAATCATCCTAATATTCAATCCAACAATTAAAAATCATTCCTACATAGTTGGTGAATAATGTAGGTTAACTTGATTTTTTAGGATATCTGGCAAATTCCATCCCGTGTTCACATTCACTAACACGGGGCATATAGTAATCAACTATACTATAATCAACTATAGTGGGATATATGTATATATAGTATATCTATATATATATATATCTATATATATATCTATATATATATATGTGTGACAATAGTGGATATTAATTGATAATCCCAAAATACCCCTTGTAGTTCTGCAAAAAAGGTGCCGGGTAAATCCCCTACCAAAATACAATATTGATCAATATTGTTTCGGCTTTCTTCTATATAGTCCAAATATGTTTGAATATGTTTGAATAGTGGGGGGAAGGAGTTAGATGTGGTATCAGAATCATCTCAATTCGGTCAAAGATTGAAGGGACTAAACTTACTCCGCCGGCCTGCCAGGGTGTTTTGTGGATGTTCTTGTGATACATCTTGTGATAGCTTTAGCTTCATTGCTTCTGCGCGGATTTTTGCTTTGCTTGCAGTCAGTCTAGTCTATAGTCTAGTTTCGTCTGGTCTAGTTTCGTCTCGGTGGTCATCGTCATCGTCGTCATCACCATCATCATCACCATCATCACCACCGTGATGGTGACGGTGGTGATGGCTGGTAGCACCACACCCCAAAAATGACAATACTCCACCAATTACCAAGTCTTGGAGTGCTATGACATAGTACTCGATTGTCTTCGGGATGTGTCTATGGGCCAAAAATCAACCCCTCTGCCTGCGGAACAAGCTAGCCAGCCACTAATCCTGTTCTGATTCTTGTAGATGTTTGTAAATTATGTGTGGTTGTTCGAACATGGGCTAGACAAGACATGGCGAACACGGCATTTTACGAGGTATAATGATTGACAAAACCCATTGGGTTCAGTTCCGGGCTCCTCCTGCTTTGAACAACCCCTAAACCCTATGCGGAACCAGCACTAACCAGCAGTTCCTGGTTCATGATATCTGCTAGTCTGCTAGGGTCAAAACACTGGGTTTATGGATGTCATTCATGGTCATCCCCTATTGGGAATCCATGTAAGGATGATGATAAAGGATGTATGAATATGGATATATCGGATATGCTGATAGTGGATGATATTGGATCCCATATATCTGGGTAAATTATAATATTTCACCAAGCTGAATAGTTATGCCATTTGGGGATGATTCCCCTTACTAGCCATGATTCCAGGGTTCGGGAGAACGGTGAGGTCGTGATGAAATTTACCCATATATGGATGTATGAATCCATAAAGAAAGGATTGATAACCATCTCGTTGTTTTTGTGAGAAAACCATCCATGTAGCTTGACCATGGCACATAGACGAAGTTTTTTTTCGAAAAAACACCCCACAACAAGTCAGTAGTAACACTGGTTGGCAAGTCCAAGTGGCTTATCCCATCTAGAAATGGGTGATAAATATGGTTATTAACCATACTCTTAACCATAAAAAATTGCCATTGACAAGCCATGTTATCCATTACTAACCATTCTTCAAACCATTATTCACCACTAGAAATATATGGTTCTTCCCCTCGGATGCCATATTTTTGGGGGCGAGCCATTGCGACTAACCTCGGCAACGGCTAAACGACGGCTCGGCCAGGGCCCCCACGAGGTAAGTTCGTTCGGCACCGAAGCCCTTCTTCTCCACCTGTTGGATGTGGAACATCGTGGAACATCGTGGAACTACAGTCAATGGGAATTTCAGGATCCAACAGATGGAGGTACGTTAGTACCATATGTTTGGCCATATTTTGTGGGGATATTCCCTGAAATTAAGGCCCTAAAAAATAGGCCTTATATATGGTAGGTACCTCCAATGAATCAGTTCCTGAAATGGCCATTGATACAGGGAAGAAAAAAAGCAGCAGGGCAGCACTTGGCACGTCGTCTATTTTCTGTGTACCATCTGGTTATGTCTCACAGTTTGCCATGGAAAGATCCACCATGCTATTAATAGGTAAACCCAGGTAAACCATCTATTTCTATGGGCCATCTATACCATGGCTATGTTAAATAACCAGATGGTATATATATATATAGTATGATGGATTTTATGGGCATCTGATGGGATTTCATGAGAATTGAATGAGATTTCATGGGATTAAATTGGTGAAAGAGGATAAAAGTACATATTAGTGCGGCTGGCAAAGCTCCTTCGTAAAAAGGACAGCATAATTCGGAAAGGTCCCATCGCCAACCACAGTTTCGTAGCCCTTTGAACATCGCTGTGCCACATTGATGTACATTGATTTACATGTTCCTTTGTTTTTTCCGTTTTTCCTTCCTTTTCCTGTTACTTTCCCTTCCTTTTCCTTTCCTTTTCCTTTTACCGCCAGGCCAATTTCAATCGATGCTAGCATTTTTCACGAAATCAACCCTCATGAAGCATCATTGTTATACCGTCCAGATCTCAAAATGGGGTATCGCTATTCGGAAAGGTCCCATCGCTAACCTCAGTTTTTTTGCTGTTTCTGAAAACCAATGTCCGGCCAATACATTTCTTAGTTTCCGCGAGTTTTGACGGTTGCTCATATATTTACTTAATTTTACTTACTTGTGCTAAACGTAGGGAATTTTCGGGAATGATCCACTGGCTAACTATCAATAATAATCCCAGCAGCCCACATTCCCATCCATTCCCTACGTAAAACGCACCAGTAAGTTATGGTTTACAAACGAAAGGCCTAGGAATACAAGTTTCCACTCCGGATGGGGTCAGAGGGAGCCCGGCAGAGTATTTTATGGAGGTGATGTGATCATCATGTGATCATGGGGACCAAATATGAAAACCAATATGTTATTAGAAAACATTTGAAACCCATTAGATGTACCACAAAACATAATTTTAAAACCATGATGTTCTTACAAAAGTTGTTTCTACCCTGTGGTAAACTAACATAGCTGTGGAAAATAACCCATTTATAGATGGTTTACCTATTATTCTAATGGTGATTTTCTAGTTCGCTATGTGAAATTACCAGAGGGTAATTAATCAATTACCATTTCAGGAACCTAAATTGGAGGTACCTACCATATATAAGGCCTATATAAGGACGTTTCTAATGAAAATAATCATTCGAAAACCCATGAGAAGAATCAACCCCGACTGGGATAGCAGAGGGATCTGACGTGACCTGTTTTTTTTGAATATCCGGCAGGTCACGAGTGGTTGCGAAAAAAAAAATAACACCCCAAAAAATAGAAAGATATCCTATAATAGGTGTTAAAATCAATAGAATAAATATGGTTTTGGATAGTATTGTAAATAATATTTACCTACCTATTATAGGTAGTACTCACCAGTGAATTATTGATATCCTATAGTGAAATAATGGTGCGAGTAGGACTTTATCTTCTGGTGTGCAGGCTCGAATGACCTGATAATTCTGATATTCCGATATTCCAATATTGCTATGTTACAATCAATAAATATTGCTATAGTGAACTATAATGTATATACCAATGATAATATAATGATATCCCATATATATATATATATATCCCGGTTACTATACCCATATCCCAATATTGCATTGTATTCCCATTGTATTCCCATCATATCCACAACATAGCCCAGGGTGGCCTTGAAGCTCTGTGGGTAGTTTTGAAGGAAGGTGACCAACAACTCCTGCGTCTTGGGGGAAGCCTGACATGTATAGAAAAATGATGGATTAATCGTAAGGATCTTGAGATGTGTAACATCATATAGTTACTCATCTCAATATCAATATCTCCTTATATTCATATTTTTGAATGGCTAGCACTGAATTGTATCGACTATATGAATATAAGGAGATATTGAGATGAGTAACTATAGCTATAATAATGATTATAAAATAATCAATTAAGTATTGGTAGTATTTAGTAGCTATCAACTATATATCAACTATAGTGGGATAGTAATAAATAGTAATGGATATGAAAGGGGCCTTACAATCTGGTTATTTAACATAGGGAAAATCACCATCTTTAGCAAGGATGCTATGTTGGGGTTCTCGTGTGTGATTGGCAGCCAAACAATCATTGGTCTACTGGTCTACCCTGCTTACATCTGCTTACTGTCCGGGAATCAAACATGGCAATGGAAAAAAAAAAAAACATGATGAATTCCCAGTTTAAACCAATTTAGTTCTCAAAAATCCCAGCTAGCCATGTTTGATTACCAGTCACATCCCCTGGCTATCTTAGAAAACATCAACCCTCTCTGAAATGCACGTCTCGGGAGGCAAACAAAGGGACCAAAAAACACATATGCCCCATGGATTCCCCATGGGTCTTCCCATTGGATCTTTGGTCGCTGGTCCCACTGGTGGTTGCATAGTTTCAAGCAGAAATATGGTCGAGGATTCAAGCCAGTCACACCACAATTAGACACGATTGTAACTGGTTGGTGGTTTCAACCTACCCCTCTGAAAAATATGAAAGTCAGTTGGGATGATTATTTCCAAATATTTCCAATATATGGAAAAATACAAAATGTTTGAAACCACCAACCAGGTAAAGTAGGATTGGTCTGGACTCATCAACTAAGAGACAGTTGCTCTGCTACAACTGTGCCAGCCATTCTTGAATTCTGGAGCTGTCACCACCCCCTTTGGGGTTGCCCCAAGTAATCAGCAATCCATCTGCAAGGATGGCAGCAAATGCAGAATCTGTGGCTTGAAGCTGTTGCACCTTCCTGAGCTGACTTTGGACTCTAGAGCTGTCACCGCCACTATCTGGATGGCCCCATGTAACGACCGAACCATCAGCCAGGATCGCAGCAAATGCAGATGCTGTAGCCTGAAGCTGTTCTACACCTTTCAGCTGATCTTGGGCTGCAAAGCTGTCCCCACCAGTGCGGGGGTCACCCCAGGTAACAACAGATCCATCAGCCAGGATAGCAGCAAATGCACGCTTCGTGCCCCAGATCTGCCACACATCTCTGAGTTGACTTTGAACTTTGGTGCTGTCACCGCCACAATCTGGCTCCCCCCATGTAATAACAGATCTATCTGTCAGGATGGCAGCGAATGCCCTTGCCGTGGCCTGAATGTGCTCCACATTCCGGAGTTGATCTTGAACTTCAGAGCTGTCACCGCCCCAATGCAGATTGCCCCACGTCACAACAGATCCATCTGCCAAAATGGCAGCAAATGCGCTACCTGTGGCCTGAAGCTGTTGCACATTCTTGAGCTTGTCCCGGACTCCAGAATTTTCGCCACCAGCAAAAGCATCACCCCAGACCACCACAGATCCATCTGCCAGGATCGCAGCAAATGCACGATCTGTGGCCTGAACTTGCTGAACACTCTTGAGCTGATCCTGGACTGCAGAGCTGTCACCACCACAGGCTCGATCGCCCCAGGTAACCACGGATCCGTCTGCCAGGATGGCAGCAAATGCACTACTGCTCGCCTGAATCTGTTGCACGTTCTTGAGCTGATCTATGAGAGGTGAGCTGTCACCGCCCCAGTATGGAGCACCCCATGTTACACAAGATCCATCTGCCTGTACAGCTGCAAATGCGCGCTTTGTCCCCTTGATCTCTTGCAGATTCTTGATCTGGGCTTGCACTTCAGTGATGCAACATTGGTCCCCTCCACGATCCGGATGGCCCCAGGCTACGATGAAATCACCTCCATAGCACCAGAGTGCAAAGGCGTCTGCAGTCGCTGATAGCTTTGGTTCTTGCGAAATTGCTGTGATGTGGTCCCCCTCTTGGATCCCCAAAGCATCCAGAGATTCCCTTGTTGTCTTCGCCTTGGAAGCCAGGACATGTCCATCTGCAGTGACAAGTGTCAAGAAAGCTTGTCCCAGCGCTTTTTGGGCCAGACCCTTCAAGTCCTCGACTTTGGAGGAGGTTGGAACGCTGAGGCTTGTACTTTTGCCACTTGGGAGAGCCACATTTACTTGAAGCATCTGTCAATCATGAACTCCTAAAATATCCTAAAATCAAAATCATCATTCCTCCAACGAGTTCGGGCCAAACAGCGTCAAAAAGGTCCAAAGCAAACAGGGTAACCGGGACCTCAACGAACCGGATTGGTTATCAACATCCCCTTTCCTCAAGAGCGTTCCGGATGGTAGTTTGATCTGCGCTTTTAGAAAATTACACCAATTCAATGGCGTTATATCCCCACAAAATATGGCCAAAAATATGGTACAGTACCTCCAATTTAGGATCCTGAAATTCCCATTGACCACAGCCGCATGGCTGAGGGGACCAGCATGGTGATCCTGAGAGAACACCTTCAAACAATCTCCAAGTTTTCGGGGTCATCTTCCATTTTCGAGCTAACCTACAAGCAACTTCCCACAAAAATCGATGCTTGGGACCTATATGTTTTGCTTCGAATTCGTTGCCTGAAATCCACAAATGATCTCCATTCGCTCAGTTTTCCCCAGCTCGATTTCTGCTAAAATCACTGAAAATCTTCGCCGCACAACAATGTTGCTGATATATTTCATTATATCTCCATTCTATTCCCATGATATCACAATTATAGCAACAAATAGATAGAAACGTTGACATATCTGCAAATTCTGAGGTTTTCTTTCATCAAACATTCGCATCCTGGTTTCACATGCCGCCTCTTGTTGTCGCGGTCGACTTGCACCCATGGCTGTGGCCTCGAAGACACCGTCTGAACGGTGCTGAAAGTTACGCCAGAACTCTGAACCGTTGATACCCGGCCTGGTAAACATACAAAAAACGATGGAAAGATCCACCATGCTATCAATGGGTAAATCAACTATAAATGGCCATTTTCAATGGGTAAATAAACTATTTCTATGGCCATGTTCAATAGCTATGTTGACATAACCAGAGGGTAGTTGCCATGTCTGGCGAACGGGTCATTTTGGGAGCTACGAGTACCCGGAGCCTGGACCCGATGTCACTGAGTTCCCCCTACAAACAATGGCACTTTTGCCAGGAGTTCGCTAGTCGTGTGACCCGTAGACCCCTGGGCGCCGGAGCAGGGCAAGACATAGCGGTAATCAAAGGTAGCAATCAAAAATCATCTATTTATATCATTCATAGATGATATTCCCAATATTCCCATTGAAAAAAAAACATAAAAATGATTGGGTTCAGATATTTATAGATTTTCAACATAGCTATTGAAAACGGTCATTTAGTTCGTTGATTTACCAGGCCGGGTAGATTTTCCAGCCGTGGTGCGCCGCCTAGAGGTGATGCCAGCCCCAAATGGAGAAATATCTGGGGCTTCGCCAGACAAAACCGAAAATTTCAGATAGTATCCCAACAATCATCCGGCATTTTTAGGCAAATGTATATATATATATATATGAGTATTGTTATTATTAATGTGATTGTCATTATCATCATTATTATTACTATTATCATTACTGTTGTTATTAATATATCAGATGTGTATACAATGTATATACAATTAAGTATACGTATATAAATAAGTATCTACAATGTGTATACATGTATATATAATTATATATACATATCCCCATACAGCAAATGCTTCCCATCAGACTACCCTGTGCATGTTTTGACAATGTACCAATTTTCCGTCAGCGAAATCATGATTTTCCTCAATTCGGTTCATCAAACCCAAAGAAATCATCCAAAACGGTATTCTTGAAATTGCTCACATGGAAATTTCCTAAATAACAATTCCATATAATATATATATATATATTGGAATAACATCAATAAACCATTGGAATAACAATACTGGTTTATATGATTTTATATGGATATTCCATGATATTCCATCATGGTGGAGGTTTTCCTGAAATGGTGGTACCCCCAAATCATCCAAGCCATCGATGACCAGTATTGAAATCCACGACGACTTGCGGATCCTCCGTGACTTAAGAACCCACATCAGCTGGCGGCCTGAAGCGCCTCTCGAAACTTTTGGAACCAAAGTTCTGTGCCGTGGGTCTCCTGGAAATCAAAAAACACTACAGGGGATTGGGATATACTCTGTAGATTTTGAATGTGGGATAAATAAAATTATATATCTTGGGTCATATCTATATCCCGGTTCTAAAAGTTTGTGCTATCCCATTAAGTCAATATACTTTTCCCAGTGCATCATGGGATTTGTGCGCCGCGGGGTTTGACCACTGCAAAGAAAAATCGAGTCTTTGTGGCAGGGCGTGTGTTTTGGTTTTGGTAAGTTTTATGCATTGAAAAATGTAGAACATGATTCACTTCAAACTATAGGTGTGCATTGTGGAAAAAAAATGGTTTCAAATTGTGTGTGTATACGGTGCATATCCAAGTTGCACATCAGGCAAAAATAAGTACGAGGACCTGAAAGCAAACCCGTCAATCAACTGGGAAAATGCAGTTTGGTACCAGCATGCTGCAACCCTGCCGTTTTTGTTCTGAAATATTTTATTGAACCAATGAATATCAATGTTTTTATTCCTTTGAAAAGAGGTGGCACTCTTTGTTTGGAAAAAAGTACACAACCACCACAAAATCAAGAGTCCCAGCAAAAAAAAAAATCGAGAACACAAAAAACATCAAGGACTCTTGCATGGACCCCCTCCAAAGAGCCTGGAAATATGTGTTGCGGTTTTTATTGGTCTTTCCAAGGTTTTGTGAATTCTGGGGGTTGTATGTAAGTTTAATCAAATTGATTGGGATATATTGGGTTTCATTTGATTTTTCAAGATTTCAAAGACTCTGGTCAAACTGTTGTGTAAAAGCGCCCTTGGAAGCGCAGTAAAACCTTTCAAAAGATCATCTTAAATCATGTGAAAACTGCACTCCCAGGAGGACTCGTTTTGAAAAATAGAAATACTCTGTTCAAGACACACCTTCGTCTAGGACACTGACAGAAGGGTAGGGATCTCTGCCACAAGGGGCGTTGCAAGATGGAAACCAAATAGATTTGATGTGAACGAAAGATTGGTAAGGTTAAAAAGTTTGAGTGCAACTAAGTGGATCTATGCAGCCATGTGATATTCAAAAGGATTGTCCAATGAAGCTAATGGAAGCGGTGAGTGTCCCAAGCCAGGCGGTGAGTGTCAACAACGTCCACAAGTAGACAATGGAGGGATCGGAGATCACCTTTAAAACAATGTGGCTGTAAACCTGCCAGCTAACCACTCAACATCTGTCACCGCGTCCCACCACCAAAATCGCCAAAACCACATTGCGGGCAATTTGTGATATTCCACAAAGCTACAAGATGCTACAAGAAATTGGGGTTTACGAACTTTATTCCAGATATATCAGCATCAATTTGGGAAAGCTCCCTTTAGAATCAGAAAATGCATGGCTCTGTTCGCCGCCGCACAGCAGTCGCGGGAAGTCACTTGTGGCCATGGGTTTCCAAGGCTGCCCTGCTGCGTGCCGAAAGTGTCTTACTCCTTCGACGCCCAGGCGAGCTCGGCTTGTCAATCATCCTGCACCTGGGCGTGGGGCTTGCGTCCAAAGCATTTGCTGTGCAAAACCCCAGTTTGGCCAAAAAGGCGGGCCTCTGGCGGACTGCAGAACGAAATTCCCGTCACCTCTACCCTTTACCGCAAAGAAGTTCAACGAATTTGGGTGACATTTGTCGCCCCGAAAAAACAAAACCACAATGCCAATTGCCTTTTTTCAAAGATCCTTGGCCAACCTGAAGCAATATGTAATGGTTTGGTTAAATTCCATTGAAAAACCAACAATAATCAATGGGAATTTCCCTTACATAGGCCTTATATAGGCCTTATATATGGTAGGTACCTCCAATTTAGGTTCCTGAGATGGCCAGTGAAATAATGATTTAAAAAAATAAAAATAAATAAAAGTAATAAGAAGCCGGCCTTGCCAGGCTGTCTAGCGGAAACTTGCGTGCAATGTTTTTATGTCTGTGCTGTGCTGTAAACTTTTCTGTTCTCGCCCCGTTTTTTGTGGTTTCTCTGAAACACCCCCCCCATGTATACTGCAAGTAGCTGCTACAAAAGTTGTCTATGAGGGTCTTAGTGGCCTAAGGGTAGATATAGGATTTAATGAATCATTATAGTAAAGTTGTATTCGTCCTATCATACTTATAATAAATTACAATAGTGTTCTCTAGATCTTTATAGTCCTTCAACTTAGATTTTTTTGAGGAACCCCCAAGAAAATGTTGTATATTTGTACATATAGTTTTATATCTATTTATATTTCCTATAGATTCCGCACGTAGTGGATTTCCAATCGGGAACATAAAGAATCAGGCAAATCCGTGGCAATGGGATAACCCCCCATGTCTAGATGGTTTCACCATTCAAACCTCCGTTAAAGGGTGATTTTCCAACCAACCACGTTTGATTGCTGAAGGGTATTAGCTAATAGTCCAATAATTTTCCATTAAATCAATTTGGAGATGATAAGTCCCCATGCCGGCCCTCCTATAATTCGTTATTGAGCATCAATTATCCGTTTATATCCCACTAGTATTGGTTATATCCAATCGTAGTCCTGTAATAAAATAAAGACACGTACCAAGCAACAGTTTCCCTCACGACCACCTCCAGCTGTCCTCAGGAGCCCGATTGGAACTGAACTCATAGACCAAGGGCACCTCTGCCGCTGCCATTGGCAGATCTGGTCTTATCAAAGTTTACCGCTCTTGGTCATAGAAAAACATGCTTTGAGTACAGTATACATATATATATATATATATGTTTTTATGGAGGTTTCCATGAATGAAGGTGCCCGAATAGCTGGACGGTTTAATATGGATTTGGGGGTAGCCCATTTTAGGAAACCTCCATATACAGCGCACAATAGACAATCCTATTTATGCCATGAATAAAACCTATCCGTACAATACACTTCGAGGAAGCGGAACATTCTATGTGTATAAATAGTAACCTCCAAAAAGATGCTGAAACACGAAAGAAAAGTGCGCAACTAGGAGGGAATTCAATGATGGCACCTTTGTTTCTAACTGTTCTATCTATTTTGGGGTTGTTACATGTTTACATACGGGAATGGGTCGAAAGCTAAAACCCGCCACAGATTTTAGTCGGTATCCTATATTAGCCATCTAGTTCTTGGGGTACAAATTTTTGAACAAGTAAATATTGTATAACAAGACTGGGTAACTAAACAAACAGGATCCAATAGGTAGATGGATGATGATCATTTGGGTGTTTCCTGGTGTGAAAAGATGCGCACAACCCTTAAGGTACGGCAGCTGGTGCAATCATTCCACTGGTGACCACAGCACAGGGCGTCACTAGGGACCCTCAATCCCCTTTTTTTCTATCAGTACTTCAGGCTACGAATTGCTGATGAGAGTCTGATCCTCTGGAAAAATTACCATCCAATAAATTTTACCATCTGGTTATTTAACATAGCCATGGAAAATCACCATTTTTAATAGGTAAACCATCTATAAATGGGCAATTTTCCATGGCTATGTTAAATAACCAGAGGGTAAGTGTTAGTAAAAACCCTGGGGTAACTCATGAAAATCCACCATTCGTTGGTTACCCGAAACGGCAATGTCCACATGCCGTCACGTGGCCAGCTGGCAATTCTTCAAGCTGGGAAAATCCTCCTTTTTTTGCGCCAAGAATGAAATATCATTGAAGCAAAATGAGCTTCTCAACCAGTTGATTTACCCAGAAAAAAATGAAAAAAACCGGGAGCTTCCGACTGCCAAACCCCTCGATTTCCCCTGGATTTGAGCTACCAGACTGCCGCAGCATCTGCTTTCTGAATCACCTTGCACGGACTAATCCAACTGAACCGGAGGTCAGCACTTGCGTTTACTGCAGATTGTTGGTGAATGTTGGAGAATGGCTTCAATTTCGCTGGAACATGCTGGATTCCGAGGGGCTTTGAAAAATCATTCTCCGATCATGGCCAGTGAATAAGGTTCCATGTGAAGTGGTCAGTACATGTTGCGTTTGCCGTTTGGGTGAAATCTACCGCTTTCCCACGCTTTCCGAAGCCTTAGAGGATCAATCATGTAGAAAATGTATCAAAGGGCAAAATATCAAAATCAAAAGTATCGATTTCTTCCTGGGATATCCTAAAATACTGTGGATGGAGGAAATCCTGCACCAGTTAGTAGATGGTTTATCCCATTGTAATCCCATTATTTACAGTGTTTTATAGTTCCCAATAGTTACCAACTGGTGCAGGATTTCTTCCATCCACAGTATGTGCTGGGAAAATGTATACCTTGGATATCTAGGATAAATGTATTTGAAATTTTGATGTTTGAAAATAGGGCAAGCCATGTAGTAGCGAGACCTTTGACCGTGGGAAAGTTACCATTGTGCTCAAACTGGAAATAAACGTAGTTGCAAGCCCTACTAAACATAATCATGGATTTGCTTAAGGAACCACCAAAAAATAAAAAATATTCCCTATAGATTACCCAAGAAGTGGATTTCCCATGGAGAAAATAAAAAATCATCTTCAGCAAATCCAAGTAATTTATGGAGAAACCCACCATGAAGTATGGACCTGGTTGTTCTGGCTACTAAGCCCTTACTATTCCCCTGATTTCCTATGTAACAACCCCCAAAAGGATGTAAAAGTGTTACTATACAGAACTATCAACATATCATGGGGGTATGACATCAGCCATTTTCAGGGGATATTCCATGGGAAGCCATCGTTGTCATGTACTGGCTGGGGATATTCTAGTGAATATGCTGCCAGCAACATTCACGAATGGGTCTTAATGTCATATTATCACATGATATTCACTGGTCATATTATATTCAATATCATGTGATATTAATGGACCAGTGAATATCACCTATAAATGACCAGTGAATATCACCTATATATGGGTCTTAATGTCATATTATCACCATATATCACCTATAAATGGGATTTAATGGAATATTCATGGGATATTAGCTAATACCCTCTGGCAATCAAACGCGGCTTGAAAATCCACATGTCTTTATTGCTGTGTTTGGTGGGGAAAATCATTGAACTTTTAAAAGTGGATTGTCCATTGCCATTTTGGATTTTCCGGAGGGTACCCCTAGAAACACTGGCCAATCATCATTTTCCGTATGACAGAAACCCTATGACTTGGGGATTACTTTGGGTAATGTAGGTTGATATCCATTCATAGTGCCTAATAAATGGTTAATATCTACTAATTGCATCTAATATCTGGTTGGTGGTATACCGACCCCTCTGAAAAATGATGGACAAATCGTCAGTTGGGAAAATTGACATTCCCAACTGAATGGAAAGTCATAAAATTCCATGGTTCCAGTCACCACCAAGCAGCAAAAGTTGTTGATGCTATATTCCATTTCAAAGGCACAAATAGCTGGTGACATCTTCTTGGTTACATCCCTATTCTATCACCATGAAAGTAGCACCATTATCCCCATCATATCACCATAAATTTCCTAATCACTATATCACCATGTTAAACATATCATGTTATATCATTTGAGCTCGTCCCTTTGTACAATTTGTACTGCCTGGTTGAAATATGGATTTAACCAGCTCATGGATCCGTTGATCATCCGCAATATATTGGATGGTATAATTCCCTATAAATCAACCAATAATCATCGTGAGGCATCCCTAGGTGTTTGTTATCAACCACCAATAATAGGGGATACTAGGGATACTCCAATAGTCCTTTTGGTAAAAATAGAGGGGCCGGCTTGGTATACCATCTATCATCAAACCTGTTGTTCAAGGGGTTTGTTCAAACCCCTCTATTCATCAACCAAGCAATGGGAAAAGGACACCTATAGGGGATACCTAGGGTATATTAATCAACCGACAATAATCCTATGATCCTATATACTCAACCAGGGGTGTCTGCCAGTGCCCATGAAAATCCTTCCCTGTAGAAGGGGAGGCCTGCAGTTATATCCCCCTACCATCCAACCACAGAATTCAGCAAGTGAAAAGTGCTTCAACATCGACAGCTAAATTGACTTATTAGCAAATTGGTGAATTCTATGGTTTATGGGAAATATGTATGTATGTATGATATATATATATATATGTATACATCTGGGTAATTACAATATTTCACTAACCTGAGTTAAGGCCATTTGGGGATGATTTCCCTCAATCTAACCATGATTTCCAGGGTTCGGGAGAACGGTGAGGTCGTGATGAAATTTACCCAGATATACAGATATATGGGGATGGGTCAAAACCCTGGTACCTAGTGAACCCCAAGTCATAGCTGGGATTTATGGATGTTCATCCCACTGAAAATGTATCTCTGGGTATTGATCCATAGCCATATATATATATAATACATAACGATAGTTTACATACCCTCTGGTAAACATTCACATAACTATGGAAAATCACCATTTTTCATGGGTAAATCCACTATAAATTGCCATTTTCAATAGCTTTTTGTATGTTTACCAGAGGGTATAACATTCAATTTCACTACATCCCATTAAACCTCCATTAAATCAACGTTCTTGAAATCAACATCACCGTTGCCTGCTGGTACGCAGGCTGCCGTTTCGCCTCCCCGGCCTCCGAAGGCGAAGATATCAGACTTACACAGACTTACTATGACTTGTCCCGGAAAACAGAGCCAAGTGTACTCAATACAATGTTCACTTAAAATTGATGTTTTATTTTCAATCAACAAAATCAAACCTGACTTAAAAGTTCCAATCTAATTTACCAGCATGCTACCTGCATCCAAGTTGGATCTAGAGGGGTGGAACTTCCAACTGGATCAACGTAGCCGTAAAAAATGGGCGTCTGATTGATCTTGGAGTGCTGCATCGGCAAAAACCATGAAAATGTCTGATTTCGGCAGTATATGGCAGTCCGACTGACATGGTGAACAGGGAAAAAAATCCTGGTTGAATCTGGAAAAACATCTTCAACCTATCCCAAAAGTGCTGGAGTTGGTGATTTTTGCTTCAGTTGATGTTTCCAAATCCAAGCATTACCGGGTAAGATCGCTCACCCAGTGAGATCGCTCCAATTCATCCAGAAAGATTCGTGATGATTCATGAATGCTCATCTGGTTGATGGTGCAAGAACCATCTTGAAAAATATGAGTTCGTCAATGAGAAGGATGACATCCCATATATGAAATGGAAAATAAAAAATGTGTGAAACCACCAACCAGTCATGAAAATCGTAACAAGTTTGCTGTTGTGTTCTCTAAACCATGGTGCCTGGCAAATAGCAATTTTGAGTCCCAAATCCAACAGTTGATCAACATGTTTACCACAACAACTCCAATTTTGTGCTCTAGTTTTTGCTTGGCAAAGCTTATTCCCCCATGCCAAAAGATCAATAAATGTTACCCTTCACGGTTTGGTTTGTTCCCATTTCTGGCTTGTTAATCATGATAACCATTAATAACCATTTAAAAATAAAAGCCATTAAAAAGCATTAATAACCATTAAAAACCAGTAAAAACCATTAGATAACCATGAATAACCATTAATAGCCATGAATAACCATTAATAGCCATGAATAATCATTAATAGCCATGAATATATAACCATTATATAATAGCCATTAATGTTATCCACATCTTAAGCGGTCATGGTTGCCATTGATGCCACCGCCACGAATCTCCATAACGTCACCCCTCCGGAGACCTTTGCCCTGGCTGCCTTCTGTTCCTTTAACGCCTCAACGTCTGGGGAGGGTATAGCTCAATGGATTGGTTTAAGGGAAAATTTCCAGGAAAACCCAATATTTAATGGGAAAATCTACGGTTTCCTGTAGATTTTCCCTTAAACCAATCCATTGAATAGCTGATCTGGCTGAGACGCAACAAAATACGGAATCGGAATCCTTGGCGTTGCAGAATAGTGGAACCAGACTTGAAAAATGTGGCTTACATGTCACATTTTAGTTGGACAGAAAAAAAACCAAGCTATGGAAGTTAGAAGCCCATAGTTATTTTCATTAATTCCTATTTTCATTAATTCCAAGTGCACTGCCTGGCTCAAAATTGTATATCCCCACAAAAGGATGATCAAATACTGCATTTATGACTCATGACTATCAAAAATGCGTAATGGAGGCCGTGCACAGGTGGAAGATTGGTCTTCAGGTCAAAATACAAGATACAAACAGTTTACAATTTTGGACCAGAATCCGAAAAACAGAATCACAATTTTCACAATCATCATTGATTAGAAGCTTTTAACATGGACGGTAGCCCCAACCCATGGCTTTCCATGGCTTTCAGTCGTCACTAAGTCATGCTCATCCATGACTCGGACGATATTTGGGTACCCCCATGACTTCGGAGTTTCCCCCTGCGACGCCCCGTCGTTGGGCGCCTCGGTCTTTGCCACGTACATCTCGTTGTCGCTGGCGCGGAACAAGCTAAAATCCTCCTCGTGTTGCTTCAGCCACACCTAGCATTTTGCTGATATGTTGTTGGATTTTAGGGGATTTATGGTGGTTGTTATGGAATTCATGGTGATTTTAATGGGGTCCATTTCATGGGATTGAAGTGGGATAAAATCCAACGATTATATGGGGGTTTTAGATGATAAGCCAACAAACATAACTGGGACTGCTGGCTGATGTTTCATGACTAAACCTTCAAAAATGGAGTTTAAGTTTGAAGTTAAACCGACGTTTTTTATATGAGGGAGACTTACCTGGCTACCAAACGTTTTGCTTTTTTGGCCACCAATTTTGATGGCGCATTATCCAAGAAATGGTTGGAGTTGCCGTTCAAAATTGAGGATTAAACCAACAATGTTGTTACATATTTCTATTGGATTAATTGCATTTTGTGGAGGCTTGATGTGATTTTACCACATTTAAGGGATTTCTTTGTATCGAAACAATAGGAATGTTGCTTCCAAAAATGGAGGGAATCACCCAGGAAAAAAACTGGTGATTGAACCAAGCATTTTATGGTTATATAATGTTATATAGTAGAATACAATGGGATATGACCAACAATTTGAGTCATGGGTATGTCTGGAAATTCTGCTTTTCATCGTTTTTAAATGGTCGGATTTTTACATTGAAAAACCAGGTGGGATTTAGGGGTATCCCCATTTTCAGACTGCTACCCAGGTTTCGGGGTCAGCGATGGGAAACTCCGAAAATAATGGGTTGAAGGGAGAACGTAATGATGAAAGAAATTACCTTAAACATGTATGCTGGGGAGCGTTTTCGGAGTGAGGGGTATAATTGGTATAATATACTTATAATATCATCTGGGGTCTGAAAAAGATGTGTATGTATCATGGCAGATTGGATTGTCATGTGTAGTCCACCTTTTTGAAATGAACGATGCCCGAAAGGGGGCAACAAATGGCTATGGGCAACCCGTCAGCTTGTCAATCTGCACAAAACCGGGCATGCTGCAAGAAGGGTTGACATTTTGAGCTGTTGCATCTTCAGATATCAACTACTGATACTCTGGGATAAGGCAAACACGACCCCGGCATTTCCCCAAGTTGTCATCGATCTTTGATCACCAGTCTCAAGCCTGCAAAGTTTCCTGATGACAATGTTAGCCATGATATACATGATATCCCTTTTTTGCATATCCTGTGAATTCTGTGTGCGTTGATACAGGGACCAGTAGATGTCTCACTTCCGGGACTTTGAACATCCCCCTCAAATGTTTCAGTATTGGAGATGTTCCTCCCAAAAGGTGATGTTTCATCAACCATCACTTTTCAATTATCAACGATCTCCCCGTATTTTTGATAGACACAAGAATGGCATGATGGTGAAATCCCCATCAAATGATTCTTCCATAGGACATGGATCACTCTCCCTGTGATATTTGGGTGTGTCTCATAAAATTATGCTATGTACCCCTAAATTTCCACTGGTTAATCATCAGAATCCCTATAACTGTCGCCATGCTGGAGGTATATGACCTATAATTGTTGATTGTGCCCTAATAAAATCACATTAAGTCCTTAATAGTCATACATAATGGGATATAATCTATATATATATATATATGCGTATATACGTATATACGTATATTATTTATATATATCTATACAACAGAATTAGTGGATTTCAATGAAATCGCTGAAATCAACCTGGTCTTTTTTTTAACCTCTTGAAATTCTCACGGAACTGATCGGCCTTATTGATTGCCATCATGGGCTTCGGCTGTGCAGCCATCACCTCCAAAAGGGGGCCATGGGGCTCAGCCGGGTGAAGAACGAAATCTGCTGGTTGAACCAAATCATAAAATGATGGTAATTCTACAATTTGAGATGTGGTTAATGTATGTTGATATCCATTCATAGTGCCTAATAAATGGTTAATATCTACTAATTGCATCTAATTCTGGTTGGTGGTTGAGCCCTACCCCTCTGAAAAATGATGGACAAATCGTCAGTTGGGAAAATTGACATTCCCAATATGATGGGAAAATAAAATTCAGGTCCCAAACCACCAACCAGTTATCATATATGCTGGATAGATCTTCAAAAAATCAACAAAAAAAATGGCATGAATCAAGTTGTGATACTAGAAATTGGGTGTTTTTTTCCACCAATTTTCGCGGCTTATGGCCCCAAGGAATCCCAGAACTTCTAGCCATGCGGGTCACTTGAAACCAACTGATGCTTTAGATGGCTTGAAATCCATCTAAGCCCCGAATGAACGAAGTGTCATTGCATGATGTTTGGCCTACAGTTTAAGAGTCGGTAAACTGCCATATGCTCATGATCAGAGAAGAATGTTGCTTGAAAAAAACTACCATTTTTGAACGTGAACCAACATTTTTGTCAGCGTTCACGAACGGGTAGTGGAACTAAAACCGATTGGAAAATCCCCACGTAGAATGATCAATCAACACCAAGGAATTTAAAAAACCGCTCACCTGCCATTCATCTTTCATCCAAAGCCCAGAACCATCCTTGAATTTGCTTGAAGCCCCCGTTGAAAATCACTATCTTTCGCAATCAGATCCTCCAGCTAAATCTCGTTTATCCATAGCAAACTGTTGAACTGCCAGAGGGTATATAGCAACCTTAAAAAAGTGCTGAAAAGTCGGACACATCCAAAATACACAAAACAAAAAGAAAGAAAAACATCATCGAACTGCCATCCTGGAAACACGTTTCTATTTGTTTGGGGTTGCTATATATATATATAATCTTCCTGAAGTAGATAGAATATTGGGATGTTCAAACCCATCCCCATTTTAATGCGTTTTGTTTCCGTATTTTATCTCCAGGATGATGATAGAATTTCTCCTCAACTGCTCCATTCTTCCAGGACCTCCTTCAAGCCCCGATCGTTGTTGATCTCGTTGATGTGGGCGATGAAACCTTCGCGACCTGACCGAGGCGACCAGAAGATGGGCACGGGCACAAAAAAAAAAGATGTCTAAAGCAGCAAAAAAAGGTCTGGATTTATCAGATTTATCCATCAGAATTGGAGTTTAAGGAGCAAAAATGATGTTTGACTGTCACCAAAAATGTGGGTTTCACCAGCCAAAGTGGGATTTTAGCCAACAGAAATTGGGACTTAGCCACAAAGATTGGTGTTCAACAGCTAAAAATTGGAATGCCTATCATCAATGAAACTTGGAAGTTACCCTCCCTCCAATTAACATGGACCTTGCCAAATGTGGGGATTGGAAGAGTAGCCTCTTTTGTTGAGATAGGCAGTGATAGGCGGGAGTGTGTTCCATGGGGGGCAAGCTACCAACAAAGATGTTGGATTAATCAACACCAACGGTGGATTAATACATATGTACATATAGGGATGAGTCAAAACCTTGTAGCCGTGTGGTTCACATCAAAAATTGCTGGTAAACAGATGTTCATTCCCCTAAACATTGTAATTTTAGGTATTGATCCATCCATAATATATATATATATAGCTGTAAGCAAAAAGACCGAGGGGGCATTGGGGTGTATACCTTCACGTAGTCTAAGCTGGCTGGGTGGCACGTCACAATGATAGATTTGCGGCTCCCAGGTTTGGACATAGATGAAAAATCCATCCACTGGTCAATCGTCATTTTCCCTCTCAAAATATGCCATGTTGATCCATTTTTGTGGTATCATGTGGTTAAAACAATGCCATGTTTACCATCCCCCAGTCATCACCATGTTTAAAGGTGGTATGTAGAAACCATTCTCAGTTGATGGCTGGTAAAAATGGCTGGCTGTTTCAACCACATAAAAGCCCATTTTCAGATATACCCATTGCCCATTGGTTGGTGAACATGACTCCAAGAACGTTTGGCTTTATGATGTATATATTATACTATATTATACAATATAATATATATGTATATATGTATGTATGGTATACCATATTTATACATTATATCAATGTGTTTATGTATATATAATGTATAATATGGTATACCATACATACATATGTATATATATATATATATGTTATTGTATAATATAGTATAATGTATTCATATATGTGGTTAGTTGGGGTTATAAACCAACAAACATAACTGAAGGGCACCACCGTGCAAATTATGTTCCATCACTTCGTTAAGGTCCCCCACCATCCAGGAAAGATAGCAAAGCATCCTGACGACCGCATCATAGCTGCGCATGGCTGATGTTTTCGAAGCGGAAACTTCACCCGCAAAATGGGATTTCCCATGGATTTCCTTTCATTTCATCAACAATTCATGGGCTTCGGGGGATTTACCCTCTGGTAAACTAACATAGCTATGGAAAATCACCATTTTTTTTATGGGAAAATCAACTATAAATGGCCATTTTCAATAGCTATGTTAAAATTACCAGAGGGTACATGGATTTACCTCGATTTGGCCAGCAAACGGTGGAAAAACATGTTTCTCCCTGGAAAAACTATGGCATTACTATGGGTCCAAAAACATCCAATGGATCGGTGGCAAAATTCTCAGATAACCATGGTTTTTTAAAACCGCCAAATATACCCTCTGGTGAACATACAAAAAGCTATGGAAAATGGCCATAGAAATAGTGGATTTTCCCATGAAAAATGGTGGATCTTTCCATTGCTATGTTAGTTCACCAGAGGGTACAGATGTTGACTGTAGAGTTCCCGCAACACCAATCTCAATTAGGATTTTTTCAGTGCAGGTCAAAATGGTCAAAATGTGAAACCAAAATTGCGATGATCCAACTGCATTTAGTTAAATCAAACATAGGGAATGCTGAGGGAAAATATCCCAATTTGGATCAGTCAAACTGTGTGTTTTCGGCGCGCAAATCATGTCCCATGTTTTAATTGTTTGATCTCCCATCTCCACGTCTCTAATATTTCAACCCCATCGTTCTTGTTCTCAAGTTATATATATTATACTTGTCTATGTTCAAAAACTGGATAAAACTGGCACTTATGCTGGTGCTGGTTAAAATCTGCATCTTAGAGAAAACACCACATGATTCCTGGTGGGAAAACAACACCTGTTTCTTACTTTTGCTTAGCCCCAAAACGCCCAAACACCCCTCCAGTGGCTTCTCCATCGGACTAGTCACCGACACAGAAAAACAACAAAAGGCCTTATAATCGCCGAATTTTAGGTGTCAGAAACACCAGCAACCTTTAAGTCTTGTGTGGCGAAAAACGGATATCCCCAAATGCAAAGAATTTCAGAGAGACTGGGTTTATCTAATGTTGTTCATCTGGTTGGTGGTTTCAACCTACCCCTCTAGAAAATGATGGACGAATCGTCAGTTGGGATTCTTCCCAATATGATGGGAAAGTCATAAAAGTCCATGGTTCCAGTCACCAACCAGTGATTGATTACTATATAAATCACCATTTTTCCATGGTTTTCCCATGGTTTTCGCATGGTTTTCCCATGGTTTTCCTAGGATCAATCATATCATCGTCCATGTGTATTCGTTACGGAAGATCTCTAGGGACAGCTTTCGGTTGAACGGCCAAGGCGTGGACGGGGAAACCATGAAAATGGGCAAATTAACAGAACTATGAATGGTTACCCTCTGGTTATGTCAAAAAGCTATGGAAAATCACCATTTTTAATGGGTAAATCCACTGTTTCTATGGCCATTTTCAATAGCTATGTTAAATTACCAGAGGGTAATTTTAATAATAGAATAACTAACTCAAAAAACTGCATCAATTTTTGGAAGAAAAAAAAACCACAAAAAAAACTCACCGATGATTCAATCCCAACCAGTCATGGATCCTCATCTGATAAAAATTGCATCAAATTGGAACATGTTTTCCGCGAAAAAAAACTCACCGATGATTCACCCATCATGGGTTTCAGCCATCAAAAATTGGGCCTTCAAGCAGATGATCTTCGGAGAGCTGTCACCTTGACGGCAGCCATGGGATGGCAAAATCATGGCACTGGGACTGGGAAAGCCATGGCTTTTTGTTCCATGGGAAAACATGGGAAAATATGGGAAATCATGGAAATGTACTTACTACAGTAACACTAGTTTTTTTAATCTAGTTCTGCCATGTGAAAATATCTATCTGCATAAGATAATGTTTAATTATTGGTCTACCATCTGGTTATTTAACATAGCTAACTAGAAAATCACCATGTTTAAGAACGGTAAACCATCTATTTCTATGGGCCATCTATACCATGGCTATGTTAGTCATAACCAGAGGGTAAGTGATAGTAAAAACCCTGGGGTAACTCATGAAAATCCACCATGTTCAATAACCAGATAGTATTTTTTATTTTTTTTTCAGCATCATTCCAGTGACGCAGTGAGGTCTTCATAGGTCTTATCCAGATATCTCTGAGGCATCTCCGATCCGCCGGACCCGAACACGCCAGAATGGACCCGAATACATGCCATAAAATGGTCCAAATATGTGTCAAATAAAGTGTCAGAAGATGTATATGTATATTATATAAGATTATATATATATATATTATTGTCCCATATTATATAGATATTATTTATATTATATTATATGTAATTTATTATAATATATATAATAAAATAAGATGATATAATTTAATTTAATGTAATGTGATATTATATAAAATTGATATAATATAGATATTATATATCAGGCAGAATTCATATCAGAATATTTTTTGACTGCCTTCGGATCACTCGGATCAGGGTGATTCGAAGCTGACCAGCTTGACCATGCCAGGCATGGCTTTGAGAAGAATAAGTTTCAAAAAAAAGGAACTTCAACACTGCGGATATAACATGTATATAGTTTCTATTCCAAATTTCTATATAACACTGCAAATAGATGGCAGAAATTCTTGGAATAGAAGAGCTATATATCATTAAATATCCATGTTATAGCGGATCTTCGGATTGGTTCTCAATAAAACTGTGGATTTGGTATCAAAAAATATGCTGCATGGGTTAGAAGACTGCATACCATGCAGGTCCTTCTCGCCATTTCACCGAGAAATTTCCAGCGGTCAGGGAGAACCCAAGAAGCTGGGAGGGACACTTTTTGATGGTGAAAGTTCTCAATTTAGCTGGTTTAAAGTCGAAAACCAGCTACCCTTTTTGGTAGTTAAGACCATCAAACATTCTGCAAACTGGAATCCAGCTTGAGTGATACATGGTTTGATGGTTTAAGTACCAAACTTTCCAGTTGACTCCAATTCTCTCATCCATTTTGCTTTGTAGGACCGCCTTCCGCCGCAGAAACCTCTTCAGCTTTCGGCCGCCTTCAAAAAAGAACTGAGGCTAGTTCCACCCAGGAAAAAAATGGTGACTTAACTAGGGAAAATTGCGAATTAACCAGGGGCAATGGTGATTTAGCCAGGACATATTATGACTAAACTAGGCCAAATGGTAATTGAACATAATTGAACTAGGGACAATACTGATTTACTGTAGCCAGGAAACATGATTTATTGAACTATAATGGTGATTTAGCCAGGAAGAATGGTGATTTACTCCCGATGTGGAAACCCAATGGTTTCCCGTTCGGTTTTAACGATCTGCATTCATGGTGGGGCTTCCCAACACCCTAGGACCCCCACGAGGGCTATCATTTACCTAGAATGGGGGCGGAGCAAACCTGAACTGACACCCAAGCCAACACCACAACCCAAGTCAGGGTCAGATTGAAACTCCCAAAAACTGCAAGTCTTCAGCTAGTTGGCATGCCAGCCATGGCAAGAGGGACATGCCAAACGTTCAAAAACATTCCTGAATCGTTCCAAAACATTCCAAAGCATACCCAAACTCATATCAGAATTAAAATGTTGTTTTGGAATGTTTTTGAATGATAGTCTGACATCAGAGCTTGATTTGATAGTATCCCTATTGAATGGGGACCCTGGCCTCAGAAAGGGGTATTCTGCAGCCTGCAGCATATTCCCCATGTTTGATGGAAAAAAACTGGAGTTGAAGCAAGAAGAGTCAGAGTGCGACAACATGTGTTGAGCAAAGACTGGTGATGTCACCATTCCGAATATGATACCCTCTGGTAAACTTTCACAAAAAACTATGGAAAATCACCATTTTTCATGGGTAAATCAACTATGTCGACTGGGCCATTCTCAATAGCAAACTGTTAGTTTACCAGAGGGTATATTCACCAAACTCATTACTAACAGTATAATTATTACCCATAGATTAACCATAGATTAACCACATAGCTATGATAGTTTACCAGAGGGTAATCTCACTGGTTTGGTTACTGGAAAAATGACATGATCGCCTCTAGAGGGTACTTTTTAGTCACTCAGAGGTGCTGGTCTTCCAATGCCTGAAAAAACTCAGCTCAATCCACAAAAAAATTCTTGGAATACACCACTTGATGAATAAAAAGTATGGATCAACATGGACAAATGGACATGTATCCCAGAAAATTCCGAAGTGACTCAGAACTACCACTGGCTGAATCCATGGATTTTCATGGATTTTCATGGATTTTCATGGATTTTCATGGATTTTCATGGATTTTCATGGATGCGTATGTACTTGATGGATCTTGATTGTAGGTAAAATGAATCATGTGAACATCAGTTGGCCGTGGCTCGAGACTTGAGTATCACGGTATCACCAGACCCGCACAGAACCTGTGCCATGGGGATAATTGCTAGGCCTCAAATGGCGATGTTATGCCCAATTATCAGAGGCGAAATAATGTTTGCTAGTGCTGCAAACGTGTACATGTTCTGTTTTGGTTTGCTGATATATAGATATAGATATAGATATATAGATATAAAGATCCCGATTGATATCCACTTACATAATCTTACATAATCTTACATATATATATATATATATATACACAATCCCCCCAATTTTTCCTCTCGCCTCGCGACTCGATGCGATGGCACCGCACCGGAACTCAGCGAAGGGAACAACACCTGACCCACGACGCGTGGTAACGGTGACGGATCCGGTGATTTCCAATGGCTTACTAATGGGAAAACGAAAAAAAAAAACGCCATGGCAAAATCCCCGAAAAAATATCTCCGTTGTTAAAAAGAAAAACCTGTTGTTTTTTCCGGTTGGTTTAACCAAATATAATGGTTTTATAATGGCCTTATAACGGTATTATATCTTATAGTATGGTACTATATAATAATGGGATATGAATGAGATATTACATAATGGGATTATAACTGGGATAAGAATGGGATTATAGGAATGGATGTGTAATCCAAATCAAACATGGCTTCCTGGAAAATCCCCAAACTAAATGGAGGTTTTTACCTGGGGAAATCATCTATAAATAGTTTTTTTTTCCATGGCTATGTTTGATTACCCCATTTTAAGCCATTGTCAAGGACAGTTTCAACAGGAAAATATCAACGGTGCCAAAAAATATTTTTTAAAAAAAAAACTTATATTCCTTCGAGACGGGGAAAGAAATGATTATATGTATATATATGGGTAAACACTAACCTGAATTAAGGCCACTTGGGGATGATTTCCCTTACTAACCATTATTCCCAGTGAGGGAGAACGGTGAGGCCGTTATAATTTACCCAGATATATATATATATATATATACATACATACATATATATATATATACATACATATATATATATGTATATATATATATGATAAAAGTTGATAAAACAACGAATTTTGGGGGCACACTCTTTTGGGGAAAACCCAGTCATGTTCTTCGAATTCTTCAAGTTGGTACAGAAAGGGCCCCCCAGTCATGTTTGTTGGTTTATGTTACCCCATCTATGTGTATATATATATATATATTCCGAATACATATATCAACCGTTGGCCTTTTTTTGATCATAAACCAACTTACCTATACTTTGGACTTCTTGTAGACCAAAAAAATAGCAAATTTGGTGAATTCGTTGACACCCTAAATAAAATCTGTCTCCGCAACACTAGGTGCATGTTAAACTCCAAAGCTAGTTTTTTAAAAAAAAAAGTTCTTTTCATTTCAGGTACCCTCTGGTAAACTAACAAAATGACCATTTATAGTTGATGAAAAGGGTGATTTTCCATAGCTATGTGGATTTAGAGGGTCAGAGATTTCGACACTTTTCCCATGGAAGGAATTTTCGATGGGACGCAATGGTCTTCGAGAGGCATTTTTTACAGTCATGTCATGGTTGCTCCAAACACCCCAGGTACGTTTGGGAGGTAAATTAAGTAAATACAGAGGTATAATATGGTAAAATGACCCGTTTACCCCTCTTGTGGCTATCAGATCTATTATTTACCTATGGGTTGTAGCAACCCTGTATGAGCTGACGTGCTTCGTCAGTATGCAGGACTTGTCCTGGCTCTGAGTCTCCGAGTCTTCCCCCATCTTGAAGATCCTTAGTAAATTACATCCCTACAGGATGGGGCCCCCAAGATTGCGTTCAGTTGCCTTATAAGTGGTTGAATTCTATGGTTTATGGTAGATATAACTGATATAACTATAGTTAATGGGGGTTTTGTTATGGTATATAAACCAAGTTATAACTGGGGGGGGCCATCCTGTATATAGCTGACTTTTAGTAGTCCTTTTTGATCCTTTTTGTTTGTTGCAAAGAAATAATTATGTTTCCCATCATCGTCCCAGTAAAAATCCATTTCAAGGGGAATTCGAAAATTGCATTTTTTTTCGTTCTCGAAAAGTAAATAGTGTCAAATCTCCACACACCCCACTTTTTTGCTTGGATATCTTAGCGAAAACCATCGTTTTTGGCTGCTTTGGCGACAGTTTGCTTGCGATGCTTCCTGGATCCAGCCGTCGGCTTTGTCATCCCATTGTCATCCCACCGTTTTGGATAAGTTACTTACCATCTGGTTATTTAATATAGCTAACTAGAAAATCACCATTTTTAATAGGTAAACCCAGGTAAACCATCTATTTCTATGGGCCATTTTCCATGGTTGTATTAAATCACCAGAGGGTAACTCCCAAATTTCGTTCTAGTTTGGCCATCAAAAAAAATGTGTTTCCCCTTTTGACTACCATCATTTGGCTGTCTGAAAGTACCCATTGATCTATCCGTATGTTGCACGCTTCGCATTGGTTTACCAGTGGTTACCTTCTGGTAAACTAACATAACTATGGAAAATCACCATTTTTCATGGGTAAATCCACTATTTCTATGGCCATTTTCAATAGCAAACTGTTACTTTACCAGTGGTTCTCATTGGTTGCTTATCGTTGTCCCTTCCGGAATTTTCGGTTGCTTCCCAGCTCCTCCTCACAGATTCCGTAGCAGGATTCGTGGTTGGCCCTTCCGTTGACGAAATCACTAAGTTGGTGCCAAGAAAACTCCTATAACTATGTTTTATGAGACTTATTACTAGAGTTACCAGTAGTACCGCACAAGGCGGTCCCGGAAGTTTCAAAAATAGGAAACCTATAGGAGAGGTTGGTTGTTGTGACTCACGGATGGCAGAGCGAATCCACTGATGGACTGAAAGGTGATTGATCTCTCTCAGTCTTTCTCTCTCTTTTGCTCTCTTTCTCTCTCTTTCTCTCTCTTTTGCTCTCTTTCTCTCTCTTTCTCTCTCTTTCTCTCTCTTTCTCTCTCTTTCTCTCTCTTTCTCTCTCTTTCTCTCTCTTTCTCTCTCTTTCTCTCTCTTCTCTGATTATCTACCTACCGATCTATCTATCTATCGATCTATCTGTCTATCGATCTATCTCTCTCTCTCTCTCTCACACCTGTCTATCTAACTATCTATCTCTCTCTCTCTTTCTCTCTCATCTGTCTATCTAGCTATCTATCTATCTATCTTTCTTTCTTTCTTTCTATCTTTCTATCTATCTATCTATCTATCTATCTATCTATCTATCTATCTGTGTATCTATCTTTCTATCTATCTATCCATCCATCCATCCATCTATCCATCTATCCATCTATCCATCTATTCTATCTATCCATCTATCTATCTAGCTATCTATCTATCTGTCTATCTGTCTATCTATCTATCTGTCTATCTATCCATCTATCTATCTGTCTATCTATCTATCCATCCATCCATCCATCTATCTATGTATCTCTCGGTCTGACTTTCTGCCTGTCTGTCTGTCTGTCTATCTACCTGTCTATCTGCAAGCTTGAAAACCTTGCTATTCTACGAGACTTATTTATTCTTCCAAGTTGACAACATCAAAAACGCAGCACTTCTGCGAGACGTCCTCATTTTTTGAAGTTGACAACATCAAAAACGAAGCAATTCTGCGAGACCTCCTCATTTTTTTGAAGTTGACCACATCAAAAACGAAGCAATTCTGCGAAGACTTTCTCACTTTTTTTCGGGTGACAACACCACAAACGAAGCACTTCTGCGAGACTTCTTCAATTTTTCCAACTTGACAACATCAAAAACAAAGCAATTCTGCGAGACTTCCTTCAAAAATGGAAAGTTGAGTGCAGAGCTAACAGCTTCGTACCAATGCGTGTTGCGATTGCCAGTCCACCTGTCCAAAGTACTGCGCCTGCGACGAAAAAGTGATGCCAAGTCATACGAAGTGCTGCACCTGTCACGCAAAATCATCTCAGCAAACCTGAAGATCCGCTGCTCCAAAATGGAAACCCTCTCAGGAAATCAGCGCCCTGACCCCCTCTGATGAACATGTCTTTTGTACTGCGCCTGCCACGCGAAATGCATCTTTGAAGATCCTCTTCAAATGTCCCACGCCTGCCATCGCTTTTGGACATGCTACAAAACCCTCACTTTTTGCTCACTTTTGACGAGGTGAACAATCCCTTGCGCCTGCCACGCGAAAGCACATCTGAACGTCCAAAAGTGCTCCGTACCCGTCAGTTTTTTGCACTTTTGACATCGAAATGTGCTTCGCGCCACAACGGCGTGCACTTTTTCGACATCTCAACCTCCAAAAAGTGGTCCGGAGCTGGTGTGAAATGTGCTTCGCGCCACAACGGCGTGCACTTTTTCAACATCTCAACTTCCAAAGTGGTCCGAACCTGGTGTATCTTGTACATTTTGACTTGCAAATGTGCTTCGCGCCACAACGGCGTGCAATTTTTCATCTCTCATCTGGCCAGATGGCTCCGCACCCGCCGCTTTAGCGAGCCTACTTTTCGACCCTCCGGAGCCACAAATCATTGGGAAAACACCGTGTTTCGCAACTTTCCTACCTTTTCGCGCATCTGCATCTTCTTTCTTCTGACTCTTTCTCTTCTCTGATCTGTTCTCTTCTACTCTTCTCTTCTCTCTGCCTCTGCCCATCTCTGCTTTTCATCTGTCCATATTGTCGGTCTAAACTTCCTTCGAATAGGGTTTCTAAACCAATTTATAACTAGGGGGGCCCACATTGAAAAAAGATTCCGCATATTTTCGGTGGATTTCCCATTGGGGAGAATCAAAAACCACCTTCGGTTCAAACCACCAGCCGCCTCGTCCTTGACATCTTCTCGAAAGGCTTCCACCACAGGCCTTAGCACAGAATTTTTGGCGTTCTTGAAATCCATGGAACATCAAATTTTTGGTGAAATCAGGTGAAATCAGGTGAAATCAGGTGAAATCCCAATTTTTCTTGTCCAAGTCACAATCTTGGCTGGTGAAATTCCACACTTTGGCTGGTGAAAAACCTTATTTTTGAATCATAAATCATCCAAGCTAAAAAGAGACGTACCCCACGTACCTTGCGGCGAAGCCTGCGTAGTTCATGAGGCGAAATCTCAATCTCACGTACCCACAACCACGGTTACTTCGGTAGCTGTACAAACCTGGGGTCAACTGAACTGGGACTGTTACACCCAAAAAATGGGTCCTAGAACCTGTCCTTGAACCGTTTTTTTCTGATTGAAAACCATGGATTTTTAAGAAAAAGCCACTTACCCTCTGGTAATTTAACATAGCTATTGAAAATAGCTATTTATAGTGAGTTTTCCCATTAAAAATTGTAACCCCCGAAAAGATTGAAAAGTGTTTCCAGGTATAGATTATACCCTCTGGTAAACTAACATAACTATGGAAAATCACTATTTTCAATCGGAAAACTCACTATTTCGACTGGGCCATGTTCAATAGCAAACTGTTAAATTACCAGAGGGTATGCGCCCCATATTTTCCAGGTTTTCAACTCGTTGGCAGCCAAGATATTTTCCTCGATGAATCTGACTGTCGAATCACAACATCGGCCTTGGTGATCCAATCCCAGGGATTTCCGATCTGAAATTCTGTTAGACAGAAGCTTCAAAATCGATAAAAGTCCAAAAAAAAATGATATTAAACTAGAGAGAAATCCAGTCAGAATGCTTGTTATCCTCAATCATTTAGGATATGATGGACGTTAGGTATGGAGATGACCTGGTTGGTGGTTGAGCCACCTACCCCTCTGAAAAATGATGAACCTCGTCGGTTGGGATGATGACATGACCCCAATATGATGGGAAAGTCATTCAAAATTCCATGGTTCCAGTCACCACCAACCAGTAAATTATTAAATGTGCAGGGAAATATCCCAAACTATCCTGATTTTTATGCTGCTTCAATTCCCATGTTTGGCTCGCTCCAGGTGAACTTTTGTGCAGTCGTGTCACTTGATGGAAGCATGGCCTCACTGCGGTCAGGACGCAGGTGGATGGTGTAGGATGAAGGATTCTGGCCATGTGGGTGATCTCAAAAAAACTTATGGGGTGATGGTGATGATGATGGTGATGATGATGATGATGATGATGCTGGTGCTGGTGCTGGTGCTGGTGCTGGTGCTGGTGCTGCTGGTGGTGGTGATGGTGGTGGTGAGAAATGTGAGATTAGGATTTGATTGGGGCGAGATTAGGAGGAGGAGGAATGATTGGGATGCTTCGGTTGATGAATTATTTATTATATAGTATATAGTATGATAAGGATGTTTATCCTCCGGTAATCAAACATTGCAATTGAAAATCCTCTACTTATAGATGAATCTCCCATTAAAACACGATTTACAGGGGGGTCCATTTGCCATGTTTGATTACCAGAGGGTAGTTGATTGCCAGAAGAAGGTCGATTGAACAGTTGACTGTATCATTCACCGGCCATGGGTCACCACATGTCACCCAGAAAGTTGAATTGTTTACTATGGTCTTCTATGGTGCATGCTCATGACTCTCCATTTCTGGGCCCATGCCACAGTATGCCATCTTAGATTGCCATGTGGCCATGTGTTGTTTGACATCTCGCCAGACACATTTCTGTTGATTGGGATGGCTTCTACAAACCATCACCCTCGCCAGAATCCACGTAGAAGACCCAGGCCTTCTTGCTTTCCCTCCTCCTCAAGCCAAGACTAAGAATATGCCGAGATGTCAAAAAATGCCAAGAAACAGCTGAGTGAAAAATGCTGATTTCGTATGATTTCGTTGGTTTTAAAGGGAAGATCATCTATGAATGGAGCTTTCGAATGCTGGGAAAATCATCGAATTCGACCCAGGCCTGCCAGAACTGAATTTCACCAACAGGACTGGCTACATCGAAAGGGTGATACCAGGGAAGGTCACCACAATTTCGCACCAAGAAACAGTAGGATGCGACATCCATGTCACGAGATGGAAATGGTGACTACAAGTGCAACTACTGTAACAAATATACAAGGTAGAAGCCGGCTTGGTTGATCAACCAATGCAGTGTTGGAAATGGAAGAACCTTCACGTAGTGGTTGGTTTTTGCTGACGTCGCACCATTTCTCACCCTAGCATGTTAATCCTGAAACCCAGTCCCTCAGTGTGAAGCATTTTAATCCCTTCCCCCAATATCAAACCCCTAAATCCCATGTTTGGGGAAATTTATATACGGGGTATTTACTATTAGGGTGGTGGGAGTTTTATACCTGTTTAGAACCCATTAAGAAACAAGGGACTTTGCCACTGATTCAGTCAGGTTCAACTATCTTGTCAGTATATCCATGCTGGAAGTCCGACTTTTTTGTGTTATATCGTACCTTCCAGTAAACAAACCTGGGAATTTCTCACATCTCCGCAATTTTGCCCCGAAATGATCCCCCGAACCGCAGAAACGATTCCTGGAGGAAAGAGGAAAACACCACACATCTGGGGAGCTTCATACAACTGGAAACCCCATGCCATATTAGAACTCATTCTTCTGCACACGAAAATACCCTCTGGTAAACACATAGCTATTGAAAATGGCCATTTATGGTGGATTTACCCATTAAAAATTGTGATTTTCCATAGCTATGTTAAATTACCAGAGGGTACCTTACTTCGGGGATCCACTTCCCCCATTTTGAGACAACCCCATTACTTACTCACTACATTTTTTCAAAACCTTCTCGGAAAATGGTTGCTTTCACATACACATCTTCATCCATGAGGTAGCCCCAAGCAATCAGCCATAATAGGCCATAGCCTTCAAAAACTTCTTATTGGGTACACCCCATAACAAGTGCCGTACAACTGGGAATATGTTGTAAAACAACCCCATATGGTCGTGAAAAGTGGGGAGGTTTTATGGATGTTTATGGCATTATTGTTCAGTTCCACTCAGTTCCAAACCGTGGATATGAACCACAAGTCTAGAGGTCCAATGTCCCAACTTATGGTTGTGGTAAAAACCATGGTTTTAACAAAAATCGACCACTGACCCCGGAGGATCATCCCACGAATCGTGGTGAAACAATAGTGGATGATCTCATTTATACATACATACATACATCTATGTATGTATGTATGTATGTCTGTATGTATGTATGTCTGTATGTCTGTATGTAGGTATGTATGTAGGTATGTAGGTATGTAGGTATGTAGGTATGTAGGTATGTAGGTATGCACAGGTATGCACATGTATGCATGCATGCATCTATGCATATATGTATGTATGTATGTATGTATGTATGTATGTCTGTATGTCTGTATGTCTGTATGTCTGTATGTCTGTATGTAGGTATGTAGGTATGTAGGTATGTAGGTATGCACAGGTATGCACATGTATGCACATGTATGCACATGTATGCATGCATGCATCTATGCATATATGTATGTATGTATGTATGTATGTATGTATGTATGTATGTATGTATGTATGTATGTCTGTATGTCTGTATGTCTGTATGTCTGTATGTAGGTATGTAGGTATGTAGGTATGTAGGTATGCACAGGTATGCACATGTATGCACATGTATGCACATGTATGCATGCATGCATCTATGCATATATGTATGTATGTATGTATGTATGTATGTATGTATGTATGTATGTATGTATGTATGTATGTATGTATGTTGTATGTATGTATGTATGTATGTATGTATGTCTGTGTGTGTGTATGTATGTATGTATGTATGTATGTATGTATGTATGTATGTATGTATGTATGTATGTATGTATGTATGTATGTATGTAGGTATGCACAGGTATGCACAGGTATGCACGGGTATGCACATGTATGCACATGTATGCACATGTATGCACATGTATGCACATGTATGCACACGTATGCACATGTATGCACATGTATGCACATGTATGCACATGTATGCACATGTATGCACATGTATGCATGCATGCATCTATGCATGTATGTATGTATGTATGTCTGTATGTATGTATGTCTGTATGTATGTATGTCTGTATGTATGTATGTATGTCTGTATGTCTGTATGTAGGTATGTAGGTATGCACAGGTATGCACAGGTATGCACAGGTATGCACAGGTATGCACATGTATGCACATGTATGCACATGTATGCACATGTATGCACATGTATGCACATGTATGCATGCATGCATCTATGCATGTATGCATGTATGCATGTATGTATGTATGTATGTATGTATGTATGTATGTATGTATGTATGTATGTATGTATGCAGGTATGCACAGGTATGCACAGGTATGCACAGGTATGCACAGGTATGCACATGTATGCACATGTATGCACATGTATGCACATGTATGCACATGTATGCACATGTATGCACATGTATGCACATGTATGCACATGTATGCACATGTATGCACATGTATGCACATGTATGCACATGTATGCATGCATGCATGTATGCATGTATGGATGTATGCATGTATGTATGTATGTATGTCTGTATGTCTGTATGTCTCTATGTCTCTATGTCTGTCTGTCTGTCTGTCTGTCTGTCTGTCTGTCTGTATGTATGTATGTATGTATGTATGTGTGTATGTCTGTATGGCTGCATGGCTGTATGTCTGTATGTCTGTATGTCTGTATGTCTGTATGTCTGTATGTCTGTATGTCTGTATGTCTGTCTGTCTGTCTGTATGTCTGTATGTCTGTCTGTCTGTCTGTCTGTATGTCTGTATGTAGGTATGCACATGTATGCATGTATGCATGTATGCATGTATGCATGTATGCATGTATGCATGTATGCATGTATGCATGTATGCATGCATGCATGCATGCATGCATGCATGGATGTATGGATGTATGGATGTATGGATGTATGGATGTATGGATGTATGGATGTATGGATGTATGGATGTATGGATGTATGGATGTATGTATGTATGTATGTATGTATGTATGTATGTATGTATGTATGTATGCATATATATATATATGTATATATATATATATGTATATATGTAGATCTATATATATATATGTAGATCTAAATATATATATATATGTATTTATATGTATCTATATATATAATTATATATATATATGTATTTATATGTATCTATATATATATGTATTTGTATGTGTATATATATATATCATGTATACATGCCTGAACTAATCCCAGTTCCTACTTTTCCCGGCGGTCCTCACCCACCAAGGCCATGAGTGAAGCCAGTTCTGCTTCAGCCTTGGTGGCGCGTTCAAACTTTCAACGGCAAGGCCGCCACTAGCCATGGGAAATGGTTCATTTATAGATGATTTTCCACTTGATATTATTAGTTGATATCCACACATTTTTGTTTCATCATGATGACATCCACATAATATGGATATCCAACTAATAATTTTCATTAACCTGTTGGATATCCACCTGATTATTAGTTGATTAGTTGGATATCACCATGGATATTGTAATTACCCTCTGGCTATGACTAACAGTTCGCGAACTGGAAGCCATGGCCCATAGAAATAGATGATTTTCCCAGCGAACGAAACCTCGAAACCTCCATTTAGTTTGGGGATTTTCCAGTTTGCGAACTGTTAGGTTAAATAACCAGATGCTAATCCTCTCTCTATGCATGGAAAATCTGGCCCTAAAATACCAACCAGCCAGACATCCCAAGAACTTCCCGCCAGCCATTCGTCATAAGTTGCTTTGGTACTTAGAAAAGCATGGATAGGGAGGTTATGAATATCTGTTTGGTGGTATACCTACCCCTCTGAAAAATATCAGTCAGTTGGGATTATTATTCCCAATATATGGAAAAATAAAAAATGTTCCAAACCACCAAACAGAATATATAGGGAATATAAACGGTGCCAAGTTGGGAAAATACCCACCATTTCATACTCAGGGAAAGCACTGTGGTTGATATACGGATGTGGGAAAAAAATGCGGCATGGACCCCCAAAATATGGTGATGTTATTGAGGGGAAAACGGTGATAACCCATGGGATTCGGCGCACGATTTTTTTTTCAGACACCCCCATATTTTGGAATATCTGGGTTGTTTCATTTGGGAATACCATTTAGATTATTTAGATCGTTTGTACCTAGACATCCAATCGTACTAGAAAAAAGTACCCCCCCATGGTTTCGTACTAGTTTTCATGAAAACGCGTGAAATATGGCAAATCGTTCAAATTTTGTTAAAATAGTGATCTTCGTATCGTTTTTTGAAACGTATTACTTTTTAGGGGCACCAAGCACAAACGGTCAGAAAAACAGAACGCAACTCGAGCGCAATTTTGCGCAACTCGAGCGCAATTTTGCGCAACTCGAGCGCAATTTGAAAAAGTAGTACACTTTGCAAAAATACACTAGCAAGATCGTTTACTTTTTTGGAAGGCGACCACTTTTTTGTGAAACGTCATCGAAATTGTTGAAACGTCAACTTTTCAATTCGTGATACTTTTTTCTAGTACAAATGGACGTCCAGGTAGATACATTTCTGGGATAACCCCATTACTCATCTTATCTCATCTTCGTCATCAACCAGGGTGACGTTAAATTTATCCAAGAGTGACGTTGTTTTTGATCCCTTAGAAAAGCCAACGCTTGGAACAGCCAGGCGATTTGGCGATAAATCTAGGAGATTTCACTCGTCTTCTTAGGCTACAGGTTGATGAAAAAAATCAACTTTTACTTGGTGGTTTCAACCTACCCCTCAGAAAAATGATGGACTTCGTGAGTTGGGACTATGACATTCCCAACTGTTTCTGGAAAGTCATAAAATTGATGTTCCAAACCACCAACCAGTTGAATATATCAACCAATTTCGGTTGGTTAGAAGCCAATTCTCCAATAAAAATCCTGCCCAGCTTCCACGTGAACGTTTTTTGACGTTTGGGGCCCAAGTGGAAAAGTTGAGAAATCTCCAAGTGCTGGATGGAACCCACTAGGGAAGTTCAAAACCACCATCGGTCAGCCATGTCAATATGATTCAAAACCACAGACAATGTTTGGTCAAATTATTATGGCACATTGATCAAGCATATTAATATGATTGACTCAGAATGCTTTCTATTGGTTGCAAAGTTAAAAAAATGGGGTCCATATTTTGATGGTGGAAAGTGACCACTTTACGAAAAAGAAACCTGCGGATACTGCACTTTGATGTACATTTCTGGCACTACCACGAGCACACAAAAAACAGTGCAGTGCATTGCAGTGGAACGTTTCGGCGCAGGATTCCAAGGCCGGCGAAGGCTGTTTCGAATTTTTGGCCTTTCATGTTCATGAACAAATTCCCAGCCTTTCGTTGGGAAAAATGTGGGTAACTAACAAAAAAATCCACATGAAAGTGGAAAAACCATGCTTTTTTTGGTAAAGAATAATATGACTTTCACTTGAGAAATCCACATGGCATGAATGGATACAACCACCTTTCACTTCAAATTCTGACTTTGAAAAAACAAGTGGAAAAAACAACCACAACAAATGGGTCCCACACCCAGCCAGTCAACGTGGCGCCACGGTCCACGGGATGTTTCAGCCGAGTTCTCCCACCGCCTCGCAGCGCTTCTTGATTTCACCAGCTTGGAGGTACCTGGACTTCGGCGACGCTGGCGAAATCTTCGGCGAAATCCAATTCTTCGATGATTTCGAATGTGAAATCATTGGATTGAAAATCAATAGTTACCATCTGGTTATGACATTCACAGTTTGCTAACTGGAAAGATCCACCATGCTATTAAGAACGGTAAACCATCTATAAATGGACCATTTTCCATGGCTATGTTAAATAACCAGAGGGTAAACCATATTAAATCCATATTGGTGGAACATTTTGTTCTGTGAGACTATGTAAGTCACATTTAATATCATGACGTAGGAAACAACAAGTCCTTTTTCATCAACCAAACATTTTTAGTTCATCGCCGTGCCGTTCCCCGAGAACATGCTGGTCATTGGTGATCATCCTCGCAAAATTTTCGTGGGTGAAAAGTAAGAAGTACTTCCTGGCCCGTGGTTGTGATCCATTTTTGTTCCTTCTTTTCTCTGGTTGGTGGTATACCTACCCCTCTGAAAAATATTAGTCAGTTGGGATGATTATTCCCAATATATGGAAAATATTTTACTCTTGTTCATGACTTGATATGATTTGTCTGAAAAAAAGAGGTACCCCCTGGTACTCCAGGTCATTGATTGGTTGTCATCGTCTTCACCCAAATTGCGAACAGAATCGTGCAGGATGGCATCAGCCCCTTTTTGACTGCACCCTGTATTAGAGTCAAAAGCCATCCCATCATTTTAGATATCCAATTTCCTACTTACTGGTGCGTTTTACGTCGGGAATGGATGGGAATGGGGGAATGGATGGGTTGCTGGGGGAATGGGATTATTATTACTAGTGATTATGGATCATTCCCTCATTCCCTGCGTTTAGCACCAGTAAGCTTAGAAGCCCAAGTCTCTGCAAAAAATCGGGGACTGGCAGGCGCGAATCGGGCAGAGAGGTGCAAGGGTCCACTTCCACATAAAGTGAAGGCACAAACAAAAAGTGAAACTTAGGAACAAACCAAAAAAAGTGAAGAGTTATTTTTGGGGGGGGATTTTTTGTTGCAAATCTTGTGGATATGGGAAAAAAAAAGACTAGAATCCCGTGTAACTTTTGCTGGAGAGTTGCAGCAACGGCGTCGTATCATGTAGAAATATCACCTAGGATGCCAACGGGATATCAATGAGATCACCTAGGTTTTTTATTCCCAACTTTCTTCCCATAACCTCTGGTAAACATACAAAAAACTATGGAAAATCACCATGTTCAACGGGAAAATCAACTATAAATGACCATTTTCAATAGCTACATTTCAATAGCTATGTTAAATTACCAGAGGGTAAATATTCCCATAAATGGTTGTTGGTTTTAACCATCTTGAAAAATATGAGTTCGTCAATGGGAAGGATTATTCCCAATATATGGAAAAATAAAAGTCATGTTCCAAACCACCAACCAGCCATAAATGATTGGTAAAACATCCCCTTGTGAATTAAGTGACATGGCCCTAAAACGCAGCATGTTCCCAAGCTGAACTGTTGCGATTTTGTAGAGGAAATTGCAAGGAGGATGGTAAGATATGGTAAAACCATGTAGAACTTCCATGTTTCTATCCCTCGTTGATCGATCTTCATGGCTTCCGTTGCCCGGCTGCGCACTGCTCCTGGGCGATGGCCTTGTGTTTTTGCCTGGCGGAGTGGATCACGTGGATCACCGGAAACGAAAAGAGGAATGAAATGTGGGTTTAACGGTTTAACATTGAAAAATATGGTGATCTCATAGTGAAAATATGTGAAAATGCTGATTTCGCCATGAAATGTGGTTTTGTTCATGGCACCCAAATTAGTTGAAAATGGTGATCTCACATTGAAAACATATCTTTATATAACCATGTGTCAATGATCTTTAACATTGGTGACTTCGTTAAGGCATCTCATCACCCATTTGGGACCATTTCTTCATGCTTCAAAGCCTACAGTTCTTGATTTCGATGCAGCTGATACCGCTACTCAAAGGTGGCTGCGACCTCCCCGAACTAGCCATGGCCGAAATGGGAAAATCTGCGAACCAACTGGGGTTGGTTAACATTGCCATGTCTGATTACCAGAAGGTAGTTCGTGTATCTTCTTCCTACATTTCTTCTGGTAAAACCCACAAGTTTAATGGAAAAAATGTCTGCTCTTTTTAGTCAGGACTTCAAAACAACATCTGAGCAAAATACAAGGTCGATAACTCATAAATTTGACGACATCACGTACAGTAATTGGGAAACTGATGTCGTACTGTAGCTCCTTTGCTCCCTTTTTGGCTCCCCTTTGTCTTGAGGTTGATCATATTAGGTTTTCCAAATTATATCCCACGACATCCCACTAAATCCCATGAAATCCCATGAACTCGTTTTAAATCCCATGAACTCGTTTTAAATCCCATTAAATCCCATCAAATCCCATTGAAAATATGCAACCATAGCTCCTAGCTCCGCCCCAAAACCTTCAGACATCGTTTTTCTGCCTCTGGAATTCTTCCAGCTCAGATCGGACGACCTGGAATCACAGTGTCAGAAAGGAAAAACGTCCTCCTGAAATAGTAAAATGGATGAATAGTCTTACTGGTGCTAAACGCAGGGAATTTTCGGGAATGATCCATAATCACTATCAATAATCATCCCAGCAACCCCCAGCAACCCATTCATTCCCTACGTAAAACGCACCAGTAAGTAGTATTATAGTGCTTAGTGGTGAACGAAAATACCCTCTGGTAAACATACAAAAAGCTATTGAAAATGACCATTTATAGTGGATTTACCCATTAAAAATGGTGATTTTCCATGGTTTTTTTGTATGTTTAGCAGAGGGTACTTCAGTAATTCCTCCATTTTCACAAGCCTCCTGAAATGGTAAAAAATGGTCCATTGATCGAGGATTTTCCTGTTGTGCACACATGACCACACGGTGAAATAATGAACCGTGATGAACAATGGGGTGAATATATGGATTACCCTAAAAATGGTGAAAATAATGGGTCATGCAGTAATTCCGCTATAAATGGGCCATAAATGGTGAAATGGATGAATAATGGTGTGCTTAACAGTGAATTTTCTGATCAATAGGATTTCAATATCCATCAATGGTGATTAACAATGAGATGAACATGGATTACCCTGAAATGGTGAAAATAATAGGTAATTCCTCTATACATGCGCCATTGAATCTAAAATCTAGCTATTGTTGAATCGTTGAATCTAAAATCTGAAACACCCTCTGATAATCTAACATAATTAGCTATAGGGAAAGGTCCATTTGTAGAGGATTTACCTGTTGAGAATGGTGATTTTCAATAGCTATGTTAAATTACCACACTGCAATTGTCCGACAGCCTGTCTCTTGGTGAAGCGGGATTTCTTCAATACCAAACCAAAGGTAATTAAATTAATGGAGTTAAGCACAAAACATGGGAATCTGACTCAAAGATGGATATGATGTGATCAACCAACAGATATTCATTACCTCAGCAAGGAACAGCAAGGAGTGAGCAAAACAGTCAACGGCTTCATGGCTAAGCCAGGCCCAAAAAATCACCTTTTGGGGGGCCACTCACCAAAGATCTCTGGTATGCGCTTTTTTTCACAGCGGAAGGACTTTGCTTTTAGTTAGTTGCCTCATATCCCAACTGGCCTTTCCTGCCCCCCGATCCCTGAAATCCACATCAATTTCCAAAGTTCTTCCAGTTCTTCCAGTTCTTCCAGTTCTTCCCAGCATTGGTGGAACGGATTTTTTTTCACGGTTGAAACCCTTGAATTTGATGAAAAAACCAGATGCGGTTTCAATGTTGATGGCAACCCCTAAATCTATCCATTGAATTCCTCATTTTCAGGGGTTCAATTTGGACATGGTTGAAGGGACCCATAATATATATATATATGTCAATATATATATATATATATATGTGTGTCAATATATATATATATATATACAAATGGCAACTCATTTCGAGTATATTAGGACGGTTCACCGATCTCTGAAACTGGATGAAATCCCGTGTTGATTCGGGAAATTGTTTGATATCTGCACTGATTTTGGGCAAAAACAGCATCCACAAGGTGGTTTTCTTCAGTTGTCAGCTAGCTAATAATCCCAACGAACTAACATCTAGAGATATATCTGCCACAAACCCAACAGTTATTGGAGTTATGTAGAAACCAACTTAGGGATTTCGAACTGCGGCGCCTTGTAATTGTATGATTGTTGGTACCCAGAGTATTATCCCATCATGTTCATATTGTATCAATACATATATATATATATGTATATGAATTACTATTGTTTCCATATGATTGAGAGTGATTATCCCAACAATACGATTACTGCCACACTATGTATACTACTCGGAGAATATCCATAGGCGTCCACCTGCTCTGCCGAATTTCCCAACCTCAATTTGTTGTTCCAACTGGGTACCTTCATCCACTGCTCGCAGTCTCCTGAAGCTGACCACAGTTGTCACTGTGGCTTCAGATAATCACAATGGAAAATATGTGGATTATCGGATTCAACCCATATGGCAGTGTGTCAAAACCTTGTACTGTGAACATCAAAATAGCTGGTAAATGGATGTTCATCCCCCTAAAAATGGTATTAATAGGTATTGATCCATACCCATATCTATGATTTATAGATGTTTCTTCAAAATATGTGGAAAATATGTGATTGAATGAAGAAACATCTCACCGAACATGGGGATGTCAGCAGTGAAACTTGAGATTTGAAAAACCACTCTTGATGCACAAGAATGTGTCGCCAAGACGAATAGGGATTTGATATACCCTCTGGTAAACATACAAAAAACGATGGAAAATCACCATTTCCTAAAAATGGGTAAATCAACTATTTCTATGTGCCATGTTCTATGTCGCTATGTTGGTTTACCGGAGGGTAGCTGTGCAAATGGAAAATCACTATTTTTAATGGGTAAATCCACTATTTCTATGGTCATTTTCAATAGCAAACTGTTAGTCATTACCAGAGGGTATATCATTAAATTTCACTACATCCCATTAAATCCCATTAAACCTCCATTAAACCAGAGTTAAATTACCAGAGGGTAACCACCAAGAAGATCCACGAATTGGGAACCCCTCTATCGTTTCCTCTATGAGGATCTTCATGAGGGGATCTACATGATGGAAGAGAGGTCTTACAACGCCAGACAAACATCCTCTATGTTTCTAGGATAATACGGATACGACTCATATAACCAATACTAGTGGGATATGGGTATGGGTCAATACCTATAGATACATTTTTAGTGGGATGAACATCCATTAACCAGCTATTTTGGGGTTCACTAGGTACCAGGGTTTTGACCCATCCCCATATGTCAATGGATACTTTTTTGATGTAATTGTTTGATATTGTTTGCCTCAGGTGTCATCAAATGTGGCTGGAAGTGTTCCCCAATCTTCCCAACATGTTCAGACAAACCCGAAAACCAGTGTGTGTTTCCCTCCAAAAAATGCCACACTCATATCATACTGTTGCGACTGTTCTTATTGACCAAGAACATGTTTAAGTTTAAGTATCCCCACTAATGTTGGTTAGTGTTGGTTATAGAATCCCATTCATCCCATTAATACTCATTCTTATTGTTGGTTGTGTCACATTATATCCCCATAAAACATCATAAAAGGCCATGAAACTACCATGACACTCCCATATGTGAGGCCACAGGTGGGTGCCCGCTGACGCGCTGACACGCTGATGCTTGCATCGTCGTGCACGTTGAGAACTTCAAACGCCTCACTGCCACAGGAACTTTGCACTGGGTAACCAACTGGACTTTCCACAAAAATTGGGCACTTAGCAGTAACCAACAGCCTCCCAGCAGCGTTACCACTACATCGAGCCAGCTTAGGACTCCCATTAATTCACTATGTTTGCTGCTTGAATCCCTGCTTCCATCGCACCTCATAGTTCTTCCCCAGCCATTCTCTGCTGATGGCAGTCAGATTCTCCTTTGCAAGCAGCCTGCGGAGGCGTCAGGATCAGCAAAGACAGCAACCTGCAACCGATTTTTACTTTTTTCCATGTCCAGGAGAGTCACCAACTACACGGCTGGGTTATGTGGTAAATCTATATAAAGCTAAAAACTGAACCTCCATATTAATCGTATTAAGCATTTAGGGCGCGTTGTAGGAATTGAAGGCAACTGACATGCGTAAGGTTGCCCCGCAAGTTCCGAATTTCAAGGAATATGACGTGAACTATGGACTCCTCTGAAAATAGGGTACCCCCCAAAAAATTGCATGTTAAATCATCACTTCCCCAGCAGAATAGCATATATTCTATCAAGATCTTGTCAAGATCTTCAATTGTTCATTTTTTCCAACCAATATTTGGGTTTGTCTGAAATATGGTACCCCAATTGTTCATGATTTATCACTATATTTCCTATTACCCTCCGGTAATCAAACATAGCAATTGGAAATCCCAAACTTATATGATTTGTCCAGCTATAACCCTCCATCTATAGAAGAGTTTCCAGCTAGCCACGTTTGATTACCCGAGAGTAAAATTGTTATTACATGTTATTACCATATGTCATATTAATACTAATTTGATGGTACTATTACGTATTAATATCATTCGATATCTCATCTATCAAAAAAATATGATATCACCGGCATTTCCATCATTTCGTAGCGGTAACCCATACCTGGTGTACCCATTTTTTCGCGCCTTCTAACCTCGGGATCCTCATTGATCTCGCTCAGCAGAACCGGCCTGAGGCAAGGAGTTATTTAGGGGGTTCAATGGAGGTTCCCCAAATGGAAAATCAATCAATAAATGGAAAATGGATGGTTTATAATGGAAAAATCTATCTATGAATCCCCAATAGCTGGATGGTTTACAATGGAAAATCCTAAAAAAAAGGATGAGAACTAGGGGTACCCTCATGACTTAGGAGACCTCCATTTTGTTGGTAAATCATTGGAGTCGGCTCTGCAACTTCCAAGGGTTGAAGTCGCAATGACTATCAAAATATGTTTAATGAGTTAAACCCAATGCCATAGTCACCATCCCCAAGTTTGAGGTTAATGATTTTTTTATAACCCGCTCCTCACGGGATAATGTTGGCTAGATGACCCAAAAGGTCATGCTTGGCTAGTGAAATCATGTTATGCAAAAATGGATGGAATGGAGATTCATCCAAAAGCTCATCATGGTGAAGAAATACCTGTTCTTTTCCCCATCCACTTCCCACCCTCAAACCCTCAAGTGATCATCCAGAAGTTCCAACAGTTTCCCCAGTACCACTTGGAGATGGCCAGGGATGATGGCCAGAGATGGCTTCATAAGGTGGGATGACTGCAAGATCAACTGTCAGCGGAGCTCTGACAAATATGAAGGGCCTATGTACGAAGTAACTACAACAAATATACAAAGCCACTGCTGAAAGACAAGTGGGGCGAGTTCAGCAGATCAATGATGATCAATGCACATGTGCATATTTTCCTGCAATCTTAGAATGAACAGAAGTAGTTCGACCAACAAATCATGGTGTTCTGCCAGATCTCGCCATGGGTCACTGGGCACTGGGGCAATCTTTTTTTATTTATTAACCTGTATATTGTATATTTTTCAGCCACAACGGCCGTAGAGTTCACTTAGTCGTTCACCAATCGTTATATCAGTTGTCTCACACGATATTCCCATGTATCATCTGGTTATTTAACATAGCCAACTAGAAAATCACCATTTTTAATAGGAAAACCATCTATAAATGGGCCATCTAGACCATGGCTATGTTAAATAACCAGAGGGTATATCCCGTAAAAAAATATACAACTGATGATTGGCTCATAGGGATTCCACTTCTTACGATCATCCTCAATTTAAATTGAATAAAGATGAATAAAGATGAATACCCCGTAGATATCAACCAACAGGGGGTTTGGGCTGATAGTTTCAGACAATGACCAACAAAAATCAGCATGCTCTATGTAAAATGTCTGGGGTGTACCCTCTGGTAATTTCACATAGCAATGGAAAATGGCCCATTTATAATTGATTTACCTATGAAATACAGTGATTTTCCAGTTCACAAACTGTCAGTTGACTGGAGGGTAACCACCAAAACGAACACGTTTTTGAGTTCCCCAACTCAGACTTTCCAGTAAGAAGCGCGCTTACGCACCTCTGAACCTGCGTTCATCTCGACGCAACGCAAGCAAGGGACCCCATGGATGGTGTGGTCAGTCGGCAATGGATTACCCGGCCTGGTAAACGTTTACAGTTTGCGAACTGGAAAACCACCATCTTTAATATGTCAACGAACTAAATGTGCCATGTTCAATGTCGCTAACTGTTAAATTACCAGAGGGTAGTGGTATAATTTATGGATTCAATTAATGACTGGATTTTATGGGAATATCACGGGATACAACTGATATAACCGTAACCAATATTAGTGGGATATAAATGGATACTATTGATGTAATGTACCTTCCGGTGCCATCAAACATGGCTGGCTGCTGGGGAATCCCCGAACTAGCCATGGACGTCAGAGTGGTTTGCCATCAGAACAGCCAAGTTGAGAATCAGATTGGACGAGCCGCACATTTCTTTCGTTGGCAACTTGGGTTGCTGGGTTGGATTGAAGAAATTTTCTGACAGGAAAGCGCTTGCTGAATTTCCAAAGACCAGAGGTTTTTGTCTCCGAAAATCTCAGTTTTCCCTGGATCCGATGCTAAGAGATGGGGTGTTGCGACCGTCAATGCATCATGTCCTTTTGGTAGGCCGGGAGCTGGTTAATCCCATCTGTCATCATAGAAACCGCTTGTTAAAGGGGTAAACTCAACAAACCCCTCTATTAATTAACCAATGGGAATTTGGGACATCTATGACGTCAATCTACTAAGTCGTGAGTTATGGTCAAAAAATTGGGTCACTTGGGTCTCACAATTCTGGTAGGTCATAGCTTCACCAGCGACATCTTTTAGGGCCGTAACTCCGGACCAGGATGACCCAATGACCCGCCAGTTGGGTATGGGTCAGAATTCGGCTACCATGAACTCGCAAAATGGCTCATTCTTAGTACCCTCTGGTTATGTCAAAATAGCTATCAAAAATGACCATAGAAATAGTGAGTTTTCCCATTAAAAATTGTGTTTTTCCATAGTTATGTTAGTTTACCAGAGTGTATCATGCGTCGATATATTCACGGATATGTTGAAGTATTTTTTGAAAGGTAAGAATGGCGGTCTAAAATGGATATCCAGAAAAACAAATGAGCAGTGTTCAAAAGCTTCTGACATGCCTTGCTTATCCCGGCTAACAGGGGTGAACAAAGAATGGATGATGATTCCAAATAAACATATTAGTATCTGTGTATATATATAATTATATAATTATATATTTATTTGTCTATTTATTTATTTATTTGTCTGTTTATTTATTTATTGATTTACTTATATATGTATTTATTTTTTATTTATTTATCCATTCTATATGCAGAGTAATGTTATATTAATAGTTGGTTTCCATATTATATCATATAGTTATATCATATTTATATTATATATATAATAGTATGCTACAATCGAAGCCCTAATCCAATCAACCAACAAGGGCCACACAGATGTTGGTTTATGATATAAATCCCCCATGTTTCTCACATTTTCTTCAACTGTGTTGCCTGTCATCACCAATCATGCACAGTTCTGACAACTTCGGTTTTGTCAGAAATGGATGATGACCCTCCACTGAGAACTGATTCAATGGCCATGCAACAGGAACCGATGAAGATTGGATCCCCACAATTCATATGGCCCAAAATATGGTACAGTACTACCAGTACCTCCATCTGTTGGATCCTGGATTTCCCATTGACTGAGAGTCATAATCCATGTTCCATAATTTCCGTGGCTATGGGACCATTTTCGTTCAACGACCAATGGATCAGCCAGCTTTGTTCAACCCCATTCTGCGGGGCTGACGGTCAACTTATATGGGATGAGTGCGGTTCATGAATCCCAAAAATGGGAATCCAAAAATGCCAATCATCCGTGGACCATCCCCCAATTCATGACTGGTTGGTGGTTTCAACCTACCCCTCTGAAAAATATAAAAGTCAGTTGGAATGATGACATTCCCAACTGAATGGAAAAATAATTCAAATGTTCCAAACCACCAACCAGATGATATGTTCATGGATGAAAATTAATACTAACTTAACAATAACAATGTAATCATCATGCGATACAGTAAATCCCCCTGAAAACATGTGTGCAAAAATGGTTCCAGCATGATTGGGAATCCAAACATGGTTCCGGCTGTAGAATTTCCTTTTGCTCGATAAAGTATAGGCATGGATAGAAGTCCCAAACCCCAAAAATAATCAGCCACAGGGTCTATGTTAGTGTAATTGTTGGTTAAAATCCTCGAAAAATGGTTACTGGTTGGTGTTTTCAACCTACCCCTCTGAAAAATGATGGAGTTCGTCAACGGGTTTCGGATGACATCCCATATGTTTAATGGAAAATTAAAAAAATGTGTGAAACCACCAACCAGTCATGAATGGATTGATGATTCATCCCGCAATTCATGGCTTGATCTCCAACTAGACCAAGAGATCGCACCTCAGTGCCCGGGCGCCACCCGGACAAAGGCACTCGAAAAACCTGGAGAGATTTCCCAAAGAGAATCGAAGATCTATATAGTCTATATAGTTGCTATAATTCTATAATATTCTATATATATAATCTATAATCTATATAATTTGATTCTTGCAACCAGGAAATATTGTTTTAAAAAAAGCATAGAATCTAAGAAAGTTGCAGGAATTGACATTCAAAAGTTGAGGATTGACATTTTTTTTGTTGGGAATTCCCATGGAACAATTTTTCGGATTAAAGCAACAAACATGGAATTTCCACATAAACCGTCGTTATGCGTTTACCGACGAGTCGAATGTCCAGGGTTTACCAAACACGGAAATCTGGCCAGTAAGAATTGGGGTATTCGAAGCACAAGAGCCGGGGATGTGACCAAGACCAACGAACAACGCATCAGATTCCTGGAAAAAAACACCTTGAAAAGCAGTATTTGATGTTCCACTTGACACATCTTGATACACATGCGGCAATGTCCTCTTTGTAAGAATCCAACCTACAGAATCTAGCCGAACAGTAGTCACTTTCTCATCGCTTTCTCATTCTCCATAATCTAAAGGGACAATCATTGCCATGGTGAGATGCTCGGGTGATCTTGTGAAAACCTATAAAATCCTAGTACAGTATATAATCCCTGTCAAAACTGCCATTACCCTCTGGCAAACATACAAAAACTATGGAAAATCAACATGTTTAATGGGTAAATCAACTATTTCTATGGCCATTTTCAATAGCGACCTGTTTGCTTACCAGAGGGTAACATCAATTAACAATTCGTGGCTGATCTTCCAAGACAGCTGATCTTCCAGTCCACCCGTCCGCCTCACGTTGCCAAGACGTCTCTTCAAACCTCGTAGATGGGAACCCCGTTTGCAGCCATAAATGGAGGGTTTCCATTCCCATGCTCCATGGTGCTGGAATATTTACCAACATTTGCCCGAACAAAATCACCCAGTTATGTAGGTAAATACCCCAGCACCATGGCTCGCATATGATAGCTTCAGCTACCAGAGGGCATCCATTGCTGTTGCGCTGGGTTGTGTTTTTTTTGTTGCTCCATGATGGTTGACTCCATCTCATTCCTGCGATCATATGAATCATATCTAGCTCCAAACAAGAGACGCGACATACCCTCTGGTAAACATACAAGAAACTGTGGAGAATCACCATTTTGAATGGGAAAACTCACTATAAATGGCCATTTTCAATAGCTATGTTAGTTTACCAGAGGGTACTTAAACGATACTTGACGATCCGCATGTACAGTAGCATAGCTCGGCTTAAATATCCCCGACGGTCTCCGATATTTCCCGATTTTGCTGCTCCTATTCCCAAGAACATCGTTCTCAACAGTGAATATGCTCAATTTATCTCAATTTCATAAACCTCTATTGCAGATTTTTGATTATTGGGTTTACCCTCTGGTAATTTAACATAGCTATTGAAAATGGTCATTTTTAATGGGAAAACTCACTATAAATGGCCTTTTTCAATAGCTATGTTAAATTACCAGAGGGTACTACATTACATACTTCTTTGGTACAAACTTGCTTTAGCTGGATGATTCCCTAAGGCTGCTAGTAACAACAGTTGAACGACCATTCTTGGCTGCAATCTGCAATTTGGAACCGACTGAAAATAAGGTATCCGAAACTTCATCGCCCATCATTGTATCACTTCAAATTGTACCTTCATGTATTTATACATACATATAGGTGTATGTATGTTCAGCATTGTTATGTTATTGTTATGTTATACAGTAGGCATAAATTTCAGATAGAGTTATAGTTCAATCCTCTCAAATCCGAATCGGCCAATCTCCAGATTTCTCAATGTACTATAGCATATATATATATACCTTCTATATAAATGGCCCTAGACTTCCGGAAAATCATGGAACATCTTGATTCACCATTGGTTTTAGGCTTAGCCTATTTTCACACAAAGCCATATATGATGGGATATGATGAGACAAATGGGAATGGGATCACATGGATGATATTAATGGATGATTTGTTGGCAAACTTAATGGATAGCTGATACAATGGAATATAAATTGTATAGATGGGATCTAACGGAATATTTTTTGGGAAGGAATATAGTGTGATTTATGATCAAATGGATATAAGCTATATATCATTATATATATATATATGTATGTAGCCGTTCTATATGCATAGTAATGTTATATTAGTTGGTGGTTTCCTCCCCAAGGGACTCACATCTGAGCAGCCCAACAGGAGGTCAGAGCTATGTCCATCACTAGCAGCACCCAACTTCGACAAAGCCGCCTCTGGAATTTCATCGGAGCGGGACGCTGGGAAATCCATGGGAAATCCATGGGAAATCCATGGGAATCCCCCATAGATATATGGGAAAAACCAAGAAAAAAATGGGAAAAAAAACATTGGGAAATACAGTATTGGTTGGTGGTTGAGCCACCTACCCCTCTGAAAAAGATGAAGAAAAAGATGAGTTCGTCAGTTGGGATGATGACATTCCCAATATATGGAACAATAAAAAAAGTTCCAAACCACCAACCAGTTATAGATGGATATATATATATATATATTGTGTGTGTGTTGTTCGCGAAAATCATCGAACTCAATGGTGGATTTCCCATTGCCACAGTTGATTACCGGAGGGTATGTCGATTTTTTTGCATGGTATGCATAGGGGTATCCACGACGCCATGAAAGCAAGAAGGGTCCAAATATCTTGTTTTGAGTCCTGATATAGGGATGTAACTCGTATGAACGCCTGGCTTTTGACCATCAAAAACGGGAGTGAATCAACCAAAAATGGGGAATCGCATAGAAGTGGCTGATGCTGATTGCATTGACACCAATCATGCTTATTGACACAATTGATTGCTTACACACCAAAACAACTGGGATGCGGATATATGTTTCTACAATATATTTATAGATCGTATAAAGTCATAAATTTACACATATCACCAGCAAATAACCATGCATGTCAGGCATTAAGTTGGTACATGGGCTGTATCTCAGATATAACTGGGATTAACTGGCTGAAGTATATTGCTATAATTATTCACCATGTATATCCAAGCGGTTTCCCCATGTGCACAGGAACTGCGTGGGCCGGGCCTCCCGTTTTTTAGTGCCCAGGAACTGGGTTCAAAGATGATGATCCGCCATTTTTTGGGGCTTCCGCATGCCAGACAGGTCATAAATCTGGGGAATTGTTCATGGATTTGAAGCAATGATACCAAGTGGATGGGCCAGCGAAATCCGATAAACCAGTTGTTCAAACGGTGGTGTAGACATCCCATGAGTTCATTAATTATAGGCGTTCAACCATCCCAAATTGGTGGTTTATCGATGTTTATCGGATTAAAAAAAAAAAAACACATCCCAGGTGACAGTGGTGACCACGATGGTTGCACAGATGGGCCGCTGGTTTTTTTGGTCTAGTTCTGGTCTAGTTCTATCCCCAGGGCCCCCTTTTTTGGCTGGTCTATAAACTGATATACCAGCTTGAATCAAGTATACATCTATAGGCCTAGAATGGTAATTGAGGACAGAACTAGATTCACTAGATTCAAGTAGATCTAGGGTCAGCTAGGATGGTAACCCAATGATGCTTCTCAGGGGGCACATCTTTGTGACAATGTCCTCCGGAAATCCGACCGAAAACGGTGGCATGGCGAAGGGAAAATCACCATCTTCAAATCTGTTCAATGGGTAAATCAGCACACCATCAGCATCTAAAAATCCATATGGCTTTGAAACTGCTGATATGGACATCGAAAAATCCCATGGGTGTCATAGGCAATATTTGGGAGAACGTGATTACCCTCTGGTAAACATTCAAAAAGCGACATTGATAGCATGGCCCAGTCGAAATAGTTGATTTACCCATTGATAGAAAATGGTGATTTTCCCATCCGTTTTTTGCCAGGCTGGGTACCATGGGGATTCGGAGTTTTCGCCCGTGGATTTGATCGGCTGCCTTCAAATCCCCAGGCAATGAACACGTCACGAGATGCTCCTTGTTCCTGCGGCGGTTGAGACAAAAGGTGGGGCAAAAAAAGCTGGCGAAATCGCCCTTTTGTTGGTGTATAACCACATATAACCACTATATCACTATAAACCCCATGAACATCCATGAACTTCGATATATCTGCCATAAACCCAACAGTTATTGGAGTTATGGAAACCAACTTGCCATTCTCTTTAAAACGGGGGTGCCCTTTGTGGATCCTTCACCAAGACGAGACCTCACTAGGCAACAGCCAATGACTAGTTGTTTTCAGCCATATCAACACGAACGGAATGCCATGTAAAACTGTCTACCCATCAAGCACATCTACCTTGGATTAAGATGTGAAGAAATACAATAAAAAGTTAGATCTCAAAGGGGGTAGTTAAGTTTTGAATTGTACTATAAAATGCGTACTACTCCGATAAAAGATGTCGAATTTTGCAATGCACTTCTCTGCCATTCAGCCATGAAATTTAAGATGGAACGGGGCCCGCTGCAAGCAGAGTTTGCATTTGTTCAGGCTGAATTGGAACATTAACTGATTCCTTAGAAACCCATACCAGTAGGCCTAATATCCTTTGAACCCCCATAGTAAACTCACTCAATGTCAATGTGATCGTCATGCCAACCCATTTTTGGGGCCTAGGTCTATTCCAACAAAAAATAGGTTCATGCAAAAATAAAGCACCGCAAACTCCGTCATGTTCCATCAAAATTCTGGGGCAAGCGAATGCAAAAAGTAAAATGTGCATGCGTGTGTATGTATGTATGTATGTATGTATGTATGTATGTATGTATGTATGTATGTATGTATGCATGCATGCATGCATGGATGGATGGATGGATGTATGTATGTATGTATGTATGTATGTATGTATGTATGTATGTATGTATGTATGTATGTATGTATGTACCTATGCACCTATGTACCTATGTACCTATGTACGTATGTACCTATGTACGTATGTACGTATGTACGTATGTACGTATGTACGTATGTACGTATGTACGTATGTACGTATGTACGTATGTACGTATGTACGTATGTACGTATGTAAGTATGTACGTATGTACGTATGTACGTATGTACGTACGTACGTATGTATGTATGTATGTACGTATGCACGTACGTACGTATGTATGTCTGTCTGTCTGTCTGCCTGTCTGTATGTATGTATGTATGTATGTATGTATGTATGTATGTATGTGTATATATATATATGTGCATATATATATATATACATATGTAGGTATGTATGTATGTGTGTATATGTATATGTATATGTGTATGTGTATGTGTATGTGTATGTGTATGTGTATGTGTATATATAATGTAATATGCAATATAAGTATATACAGTATAAAGTATCCATAGAGTTATCAATAATCAGTATATTTATATAACAAATCCAGCATAATACGCAATATATACATGTACGTATACAATATGCATTTATTATATTCACATACATACATATCAGGACACATCATCTATATCCTCCAGAACTAGTCCCAAAAACGTCGCAAACCGCACCTGGTATCTTTGAAGCGCAGGTGATAACAATGCAAAAAGAGGCGCGGACACCACGATCGATCCTGGCGCCAGATCTTCACAGGGATGCTTGGACCATGGTTCTACCATGGGACCCGACCAAAATGTGATCCCCCAATCTATAGCCATGAAAATATGGGAAAATTGTTGGGAAAAAACATAGGATTTGGGGGTAGCATATTTTCACACAAACCCAGA